TTTTTTTTTTTTTTTTTTTTACTCCCAATTAAGCGGCGGACGTGGGATAGGGTTATTGGGCATAATTTTACACAATATCTCACTCATGTTTTTATTAATGTTATTTATTTATTTATCTTTTTAAAGTTTTAGAGGTGTTTGTGTGGTGTATATACATTTATTATATGTTAACTTATCTTTCTTTTAAGCTCTTACTTATTTATCTTTTTAAAGTTTTAGAGGTGGTGTTTGTGTATATACATTTATTATATGTTAATTTATTCTTTTATATAAATTTATTTATACATTTTATATATATATATCTGTGTATTCATTGGGGAGGTGCTGTGTGTGATTGTGTTTTTTATTTCCTTTGTCCCCATGTTTGCGCTTTTTAACCTCCCTTCCCCCTTTAACATTTCCTCTCTGCCTTTCCCGCCGGCAGTCGCTCTGCTGCCTAGACTGTTTTTAATAAAATCGTCTTAACTGTCTTATTTCAGGGTTTTGATTAAAGCCTTTTTAAAGGACAGCCCCCTTGTGCCAGTGCCCCTCGTGGTCCTCTTAGGAGGGCCACGCATCTTACTAAACCTAACCCTAACCCTAACCTAACCCTAACCCTAACCCTAAGGTTATGACTTTTACTTTGAAAGATGTTACAACCCAGCTCAAAGGCTGCAACATAAGGGAGACAGGACAAGTGGTAAAAGTAATAAATATACATTTATTTCAAGAACAAATAACCAAACTAAACAAACAAAACAAATAAGCAGCCATGTCATCCAAAGAAGGGGCAGCAAAGAAGAGGACACCAGCCAAAGAAGAGAGAGAGCCTTTATAGCTCGGACCAAACTAGGCTCAGGTGTCGCTCATCAGTGGCCGATTAACATCCTGAAAGACAGACAGCAAACAGGACACAGACCCCTAATGGAAGGGAGGGGTCATCACAAAGATCTCTTAATTGGTACAGTTAAATTGTTAAATTTTCTGTATATGTATAGTCAGAGATTTCCTCAACTTGTATGGAAATATTGACAAAAAACGTTTTATAGCACCTCAAATATTTAGTTATTCGATATTTCACAGTACAAATGTATGACTTTTACTTTGAAAAGTCTCTTAATTGGTACAGTAAAAATGTCTGATTTTCAGTATGGGTGGAGTCAACAATGCCCTGAACACATATACATCAGTCATTGTCTGGAATTATTGACAAAATACTATTTATATCACTTCAAATATTCACTTATTAGATATTTTCTCAGTCCAAATGTATGACTTTTACTTTGAAATATCTCCTAATTGGTACAGTCGAATTGTTTGATTTTCTGTAGTCAGAGATGTTCTGAACACATATCCATCAGTCATTGTTTGGAATTATTGAGAAAATACTTTTTATAGCACCTGAAATATTTAGTTATTAGATGTTTTCTCAGTACAAATGTATGACTTTTACTTTGAAATATATCTTAATTGGTACAGTAAAAATGTCTGATTTTCAGTATGGGTGGAGTCAACGAAATCTTGAAGACATATACATCAGTCATTGTATGGAAATATTGACAAGAATATTTTTATAGCACCTTAAAAATTTCAGAAATTAGCCATTTCAAGGTACAATTTCAGTTCAGTCTGTACTTCATAAAATATCTTAATTGGTACAGTTAACACGTTTGATTTGTGTTTGGATGTGGTCAGAAATGTCCTGAACGCATACATATCAGTCAGTCAGATATTAGTCATTTAATTATCTTTCCAGCAACCCTCAAATCAAAGAATAAAGACACTTCATCCACAATTTAGTTGTATTTTCCCTTTAACTCACGAGATGCAGGTAACATGTTTTATACTTAATGTAAATATAATTAATTTAATCTTATTTACACATAATGAAATTTGTATATACGCTTAGTTGACATCTTATTTTGAAAGCCGGATGTTGTCTCACGTTAATCCCTCCGCTAACTTTGCAAAGTCCTTCGCTCGCTCCCGATCTGTTCCGTTTGAATGCGTTTACCGTGAATTTCAGCATATAGGTGCACTAAAATTCAAGTGTCTTCTGAGTTGACCACGGAGATCTGAGTGTCTGAGTTCACTGCGGTAAAATACGTCGGGTGACCTTTGCATTTGAAGCATGAAAACAATGGGTACATCCCAAGTCTCTTAATTGCATCCCCGTTTCCCTCACTTGGGTCCTTTCCTTGCGTCTTAGTCCCTCCCACCAGGGATGCATGGAGGAAACCATGCGAGGAGAGAGGAAACGAGGAAATATGTTTTAAGAGACATGAGACGTCCTTTCCTCAGTTGCGTCACGTGAAGCGACGTCTGTTTCTGATGACGGTGGCTGATGATCTCAGCTGGCAGTCGGCTTTAACAGCTGGAGAGACTTTTTAGAACGTTGTGTCACTGTTCACATGATCACTGTACTTAATAAAAGTAACTAATAAAGACACAGTAATCACTACTGTAGAGGTGGTTTCTCTCTGTAGTCTGTTAACAAACTGTGTCCTGTGTTCTGTTTATAAGCGCAGGATCGAGGAGCGAGGAAATGACAATTAAGAGACTTGAGATGTACCCAATGTGTGGTCGCACGAGAGAGCCTGTCCATCAACAGCGCGACTCGTGCTTACCTGAAGTATATGCAGCAACACTGGAGCAGAGTTACAACCTCGGCTTCCCAAGACGCCTGTATGAGCTGAAATGAAAACTAATAAAATAATAATATGTCTAAAACAAAACTCAGACTCCCCCGGTGTGATAGCCAGACTGTAGGTGGCAGTAGCGGGGAGCACGAGCCTGAGTGTTGCCAGATTTGAAGATTTCACGTAAATCAGTTTAAAAAGTGGGCACGATATAGCTGTCATATACTGTACAGTCGTAACGAAGTACATTTACTTGACTGTACTTAAGTGCAATCTTCAGGTACTTGTATTTTACTTGAGTATTTCCATTTTCTCCTACTTCATACTTCTATTCCACAACCTTTCAAATGTTGTACTTTTTACTCCAGTATATTTATTTAATGAATTCAGTTACTTGTTACTCTACAGATTCAAATCATATGATTCAAATTATTAATACAAGATATTATCAACAAATTAAATCTCAGATATTATTGTAGGTAAAGCTACACAACACTATATAAAGTTCTAATAATTGGCACTACCGTTAATCAGTATAGTTGTTGTTGTTATTCAGCGGGTCATATTTTTATTATTATTATTTTATCATGTGTGTTTCATTTTCCATCTTGTTTTCCTGTTTTATGTTCATTCTATATTTTCCCTTATTGAAGAGGAATTTTTGCTGCATTTCGTCTTCTTATTATATAATGATTAGAATCCAATATTGTAATACACATCTTTCTGAAATGGGCCATCCTGCGAGTATTATGAACGTTTAACTTCTCTCTTGGTGGGAAATATCTATGACAATTGTGTACCATTTGACTCCAAACTTTTTTTTAATTTCCTCCTTAGTTGCCCTTTAGAGCACAATTAACCCTGTGGTTGTCTGTTTTGATAGATCATTCTCACCTGACAAAGACCTACACAAGGCCAGATTAACCTGCTAGGAGGTTCCTAAAGAAAATGTAGCTTTGGGGTCATATATTGGCCCCCTGATTCCTCAAACTCTGTTTGACAATTATTTAATGTGGTAATTTGAAATATGCAGCATGCAGGAACGATATCAACTTACATAAGAAAGATATTATTTAGATTTTGACAAGGGACCCCTGTGCAAGACTGTGTCCAAAATTAGATGGAAATGCAGGAGCAACCTTGAGGTCCTTATTGTTACAATTCATATTTAGCGGTCCATATTCCCAAACAAGTGTGCGATTAATTTGATAAACAGAAACTAATTGCCACACAGCGAATTTAGGTTTTTAGACTTGAAGTTTTTGCAGCTCTACTAACAACAGGACCTGGCAACCCTGACCCATCGCAGTGTGATGTCATTGGTCGACTAATAAAGACGTAGCAAGCATAGAAATAGAGCAGGTAGATGATGCAACACCATTTAATGGCTGTCATCCTATGTGTTTTTATTTTAATTTTTAGGAAAGCCCCTAAAGTGTTTGGACTTTCTGCTGTCACAAAATACAATACGAATATGGCATATTTATATATATATATATTAGAGTTTAATTGAAGTAATTAAAATTAATGTGCGGGTCACGATGACATGAATTTGAGTGTCCTGTTTTTTTTCACACAGAAAGTTATCATCATTAACATACAATAACAGTACATTTAAAATAATGGTGTAATTTTCCAGCTGATTTATTTTCTATCTAACCTAACTCTAGCAGCAATGCTGCAGCCAGCTAGCAGAGCGGACAGCCCGCAGAAAAGCAGAGAACGGCCACAGAAACATGGATCTAATTAGTAAACCAAGAAGCAAGTCGATTGTGTGGCTGTATTTCGGCTTGAAAGCAGACGATAAGGGACAACCTCTGAACTCTGGGGAGGCCATTTGTCGTTTGTGCCGAAAAATAGTACTTGCTAAAGGTGGAAATACCACGAATTTAAGAAGTCATCTGAGACGTCGACATCGTGCTGATTTCTTCGAGAACATTTCTTCCACGACATCTGGAGTTTTGTTTGAGGCTCAAGGTACACACATTTCAGCGCTTTCACTGCAATAATTGCGAACCTAAAGGGTGCATTAAGAGTCTTGTCGCTTTGGCCGCCTTTCCGACTTTACTACATTCATCCACCCCCTTTACTGACAACATACAATTGGCAGTGGGGCACTGTAATGGGGTTCATACAGTTGCATTTGAATGGTAGCAATTAAAGACCACACGATAGCATTAGAACTCATGGTACTTTTTATAGGGGAATGTGTAGACAGGCAGATGTCGGTGCATTAAGTGTGTCACTTTGAATGCAACATTCAATTCCGACCATGCGTTGAGATTGTATCAGACATTCAAAGAGTCTATATCATCAAGATAGATTACACTCGAGCGTCATGTAAGTAACACCGATCAGCGAGTTTCTAAGTATAAGTGTCTTTAAACAGGGTGGTTATCTCATGTCAGGTTCTTTCATTACAATTTCCACGCATGTTACGGGCTTCGGTGTTCATTTGTAACAGTGTAGCGCCATTTCCACCTACAAATGCTTGTACGCATGCGCTAAAGAGACGACGGCGCTAGAAGTCTGTTTTACGGCAGTATTGTCGTTACCATGGTATCACCAAAACAGTCATGCACGTAACGTTTGCCCATTGGAAGGAACTGAATGTAACATTTGGGAATGTTTTCTAATATATAATTTGGTAAGGAATATGTTTCCATGGACCCGCCGTTATGATATGTCGTAATACATAACACTTGCTGTGGTTGGTGCAGTCAGAGCCGCCATCTTTAGCGTTTTAAAATGAAGCAATAAGCCACGAGAGGCCGTGGTTTACAATGATTTTTCAACAGCTTAAGGGCGTTGTGAGGCACTACGCGGAGCGGACTGCGGTTGGTGCAGTCAGATCGCCATCTTTAGCGTAAATCCCTAACACCGTCTCTTCAATACAAGCTGATAAACACTGTGGTATAATCGCCATATAGCACCGGAACCTCAGCACTTGAGCGGTATCATTCCGCTTTGTTTACATGGCCAAATACTAACACCTGTGCTCGCCTCACTTGAGTTTTAAAGCAGCTACCTTGACAGCAGGTGGAGCTAACAGCTAACACTATGAATGCAGACCTGAATGGTTCTCGTGGAAAATTGGATTGGTTTGAGCACGATATGAAAACTAAAGAGGCGATCATTAAAGAAGAGGATGAATCACAACACGGGGAAGAGTGTGAGGTAAATGCCACTGACATTTCCAGACATGCAATGGTATCGGACTTGGAACTGGATGAACTCGAGGACTGCAGGACTGAAAGTAAGCTGACAAAGAAGCAGACATTGTGGGCTGTGAATTGTTTCACTGGCTGGTTGGAGTCCCAGGGGCTGCAGATGGACCTACCTACAGTGGAGAAGACTGAGCTGAATGGACTGCTCAGACACTTTTATGGATCAGTACGAAACAGCAAAGGAGAACTCTATGGGATTGCTAGTTACATCGCACTGAGAGCTGGTCTTAATCGTTACTTCAAAGAGCGTCCCGTCAGCCGCCCTGTGAGCCTAATGAAAGATACAGAGTTCATCTCAGCCAACAAGGTGTTCTTGGGAGTGCTCAAGAAAATTAGAAAGTCTGGTCGAGACATAACATTACACCATCAGGCACTGTCTCCTGATGATATCCGCACCCTTAGGCACTCCCGTGCGATGGACACTGGCACTCCAAGGGGTCTTCTGAACAAAGTCTGGTTTGATATCCAGGTATATTTCGGCCGCAGAGGGAAGCAGGCCAACAGGAATCTAAAGCCAGATTCATTTGTAATCAGGAAAGACAAGAGAGGACTGAGATACTGCACTTCATTCTTTGGTGACGAGACAAAAAATCCTACCAAGAAGGACAGATGCTCTATGTTTGAGAAACCAGGCAGTGAATTCTGTCCTATCACTTCTCTTTTAAAGTACCTCAGCAAGCTCCCATCCAACGCAACAGCCCTTTACTTGCAGCCTAAGAAAGATTTTGTAGATGAAACTTGGTACAGCCACACCCCATTAGGAGTCAATTATCTGGGTTCCATGTTATCTCGCATGTCTAAAGAAGCCGGCACATCCGTCATCTATACCAATCACTGCATCAGAAGCACACCATTTCACCAACTATGTGGCACGGGACTGGAGGGAAGAGAAATTATTCCTGTCAGCTTGCACAGGTGGGATGAGTTTATTCACCTGTCGCCATATTATTTTACATTTATCCCATTACACCTGCTGAAATTACTTTCATATCATTTTTTACAAACAGGTCTGAAACCTCCCTTCAAAGTCACCAGACGCCGTCTGTCGGGAGCCGTAAGCCACGGAGCAAGATATTGCAAGAGAGCAATTCAGCTGGCCCAGCAGGTCTGCCACCAAACAAGTGGGCACCCTTAACAGAAGTTCAGTCAAGCACACACTGCTGCAATGGATTCATTGTCTTAGTAATGACAGTCTGACTGAAATGTTCAGATAGCGGTCTACAGAAAGTCTGAATGATTGAACATGATACTAGCAGCTATAAAAAGCTACGTTTTGCTTGGTGGGGGAACAAAATAAAATTAATCAAAACAAACTCAAAATGTTGTGTACTTACTATAATTGAATCTGTCTGATGTAGTATAGTATCAATCACATTCTAATGTTGTAACATTCTCCAAAGGTCTTGTCTTTATTTCCTCTGTTGCTTAAACCTGTACAACAGTAAACATGCTCCAGATTGTCAACAAAATATCTCAACTATATTCCATATTTGACAAAGTTTTTCTCTATTTCTTTGCCTCTGCAGGTTTGGATTCAAACCATGAAGAATTCTTTGAGGATGTTCCTTTTCTTCAGGCTCCTTCAAACACAAACTACGTCCCAGATGCTGTTTTGCCGCCTGGAGAGCCGTGGCTCCACGGCGGCCCCTCGCGGGCGGCGCTGTCCCTGCCCTCCTGCCTGTTCCTGTGCGGGGACGTTGGGTCTGGGATGTCTGGTCCTGGATTTTCTGGCGAAGAGCAGATGGGAGAGATGAAAGTGTACGCCAAGTGTCACCTTCAGCAGGGCGTCATGTTTGGGCCGTATGTCGGAGAAATGTGCAGAGGACAAATGCCGACCAACCTCAAATACGCCTGGGCTGTAAGTACACAGGTTTAAACAGACATAAAGGTAGTTTAAAATCAAGTTATAGGGAAAACATTATGGGTTTTGTACTACAATCACATTTGTAGTCCATGATGTAATTTGTTACTTGTGTTGATAACCAGCAGGAATTCTATATAGATTTGGTCTTGACACATACACGTTGCTCCCATCTCCAGATCAGGGACGATGCTGCTTTTATCTACGTTGATGCTTCTGATGAAAGCAAATCTAACTGGATGAGGTGGGCCGTTCTTACTGATTCAAGTAGTTTCCTTTCTCGCTCCTGTTTTTTTGTTTTTATAGATTTTTATTTATTTATTTATTTATTTATTTATTTTTTTTTTTGCAGTCAATCAGAGCGTTTGTCTGACTGATTGTCTTTTTCTTTCCTGGTCACAGTTACAAACTATACATGTTCGCTCTATGTTTCAGGTATGTAACATACACCAGCAGGGAGGAGGGACACAACCTGGTCATCTTCCAGTTCTACCGCCACATCTACTACAAGGTTTCCCAGCCCATTACGGAGGGAGCAGAGCTAAGGGTCTGGATCGGCAAAGATTATGGCACCTTGCTGGGCCTCGGTATGGGTAAGTTCATTCACTCAAGCATGGAATGACGTGGTAGAAGCAAACTTTCAGATTTATATTAGTTTTTATTTACTTCCACATACATTTTCAGCTGACAGTAGACTTTTGTTTTTGACGGGTGGTATACAGGTGACAATGTGAAATGTGAAGTTGGAGACAAAGAGACAGTCCTGCGCCTTCTGCAAGACATACAATTGGTCACCCTCCCCGAGCCCAGCAGCTCTTCCCTTTGGTCCGACCACAGCCAATCACAGAGCCCCATGCTTGTCATCAGTGACGTGACAACAATGTCAAACCCAGACGCAGCAAGTGATTCGGGCATGATTTCCGGCTCTGCCTTCCCCTCCTCCCTAATCTCCTTGCCGTCCCCGAGCTCTCATTCATTTGAAAAATATGATTTTATGCCTGGAACTGAGAGACTGCTGAGTAACCCAAACGCCACACAGAACAGCCCGTGGTACTTTTTTGGGTTGGAGCCGGACCCCACCGGTCGGCCTCTAGACCGTTGCACTGCAGTGTGTAAGCTGTGTGTGGAACATGTGGGCTGTGGAGGAGGAGCAGCAGATCTCCAAAACCATCTGACTAGCAAGCACCACATCAGACCACCACGCGACGTTACCAAGGATCGGAGTTTTCCGACAATAGGTAACTATTACTGTACGTAAAAAGTACACCTGGATGATGGAATGTCTTTTGTTCTTAAAGTATCTGATGATGACACTAGATGGAAAGTCAAGGGATCACCAACGTTATTAGGATTCATCATATTGGAATCATGAAGATGTGTTCTACATCTTATGACAATACATCAAATAGTTGTAAAGATCAGAGCTTTCCATAAGAGCCAGCTGTCAGCCAAACAGCCAAGTTCTCATTTAATTCTAGCCGGCTGCTTTATTATTTACATTCTTGATTCTAATGAAATAGTTTTGATTTAAAAGTTGTGATTCACTCTGCATGTACATTTTAAGACCACTAGCTTTAAAACAGTGTGAGCATGATGATAGAGAAACATGCCTGTCTCTATCAGTCCCGCCTGCACATGTTGCTGTATGAATGTGTGTGTGCGTGCGCTCAACTGAGAGGTTGTGTCCTGTCGAGTGGAGAGCAAAGAGCTGTTTGTGTGTGACAAATACTAGCAAAATAATTGATTAGAATTGGTTAGCATTCATCCTCTGGGGACCATGAATGTCTTCAAATATTTCAGTCTGGACAAAAGTCGTGGACCAACCAGGCCGCGAGCATGGATAAAAATAAGACCCGAGTTCAGGAACCAGAATTTTCCTTTTAACCAACCTGAAGCTCTTTTGTTGTTCAAAATGGTTGAAATGTGAGTCAAAAACTATTTCTCAAACAAGCAGATGTACAGGTTTAACCTGTAAACTGGTATCTAGTGTAGTACAAGACAGATTTTGAAAAATGTGTCAAACTGTTGATTTGTCTTTTTTCACTAAAGGTCAGCAACGCTCACAGCCAGCGATGGGTAACAGCGGTTTGGTCAGCACGCTCCCCCTGGTATTCTCCGCTCATGTGACCGATGCCATCTCCAACTTTCTCATTATGGATCTACAGCCCCCAGCTCTGGTAGAAGGGGATGGCTTTAAACAGCTGATCCACACCCTCCTGCCCTCCTACAAGGAGCTGCCTTCACCGTGGCAGCTCGAGAACCTCCTGAAAGAACATCACACCAAAGGCAAGACGAGCCTGGCTCAGCTGCTGAGGAAGAAAATGGGAAGCAGCAATAACGTGGACTACACTGCTCCCATGCAGTTCGAGTCCAGGAGACGTGGGCGACCTCCCGGCCATCGGAAGGAAGTGCCTCACTTTGTCACTTTAAGTGTGGATGTTTGGTTGCACAACTGGCAGGGCAACACTGAGAGGTACCTCACCCTCTGGGCACATTACGTAGACTGCAATTTTAGTTTTCAGAACCTGGCACTGGCAACCCAAAGACTGACAGAGGGTGGTGTTAAAGACTACAGCCTTCAAGCAGTGGAAGCTCAAGTAAAAGTGATGGCCCAGGAGTGGGGGATCTCCATGCCTAATCTGGTCTTGCTGGGAGGGGAGGTAAGGAACAAGATGAGACTGGGGCCAATTAAGAGCGGCAAAGGTGGAGAGGCTGCAGGAAGCGTTCCTCACCCAAACTCAACAACGTTTCTCGAGAGGGACGACACTGTCTCACCCGAGGAACCACATGGCTTGGAGCATGGCCATTCTAGTGAAGGACTAGCATCTGTGCCATGTTTCTTCAGCGCTGTGCAAGGCTGCATTGAGGAAGTGATGTCACACTCTGTCATCTCCAAGACCCTGAGTCAATTCCAGGGTGTTCTCGCTACCCTGTTCATGCCACCTGCTCAAAACAAAGGCCTGTATCAGTACCCCGCCCACAGTCTGTTGCAGACCCTGAAGAAACAAGAACAGGCAGAGCTGAAGTCCTGGGCTCACAGCCGGCCTGCATGGAATAGGCTGTACCCTCTGCTGAGCATGCTCATCAAACATAAAAGCCTTTTCTGTGATATGCTGAAAGAGATTAAAAGTGAGAGCTTGTCTAAAGAAGACACTGTTTCAAAATCCAGTTCGTCTGGCAGCTGCTACGCTAACTCCACGTCCTTGGCAAGCTTTACGACTTTGCGATCTGAATGGAAGGTTGCGGAGGAGCTGTGTTTAGTCCTCAAACCTCTGGACGTGGCGTGTCGAACTCTTGCCAAGGAGGCATTCCCCCGTCTGTCCCTAATCAAACCCATTCTCACAGGCCTGCTCTCCCGCCACCTCGTGCCGCGGACGGGAGATTCGTCGGCCATCCTAAAGGAAGTGAAGAGGATGATGAGGCGGAACTTGGCGAGCTGCTATGAAAACCCTGTCGTCAACAGAGTTCTGTGTGTTGCATGTTCCCTCGATCCCCAGTTCCATGGGCTGGGCTTCATGGAGGACAAGGTGAGCCGTAAATTTAAAATGCATTGACTTCTTTCGTAACCCTTAATCTTAAATTACTGTGGCTATGAAGATCTATACGGTTGGTTTTACTTGATTTAAAGTAAGTTAAATTAACCGTCTGGCTACTGTTGGATGTCTCAACACAAGTAGTCATAAAATAACTTTTCCTGAGTAATGTGCAGTCTAAAATCTGCAAATTATGATTTACATCTAGAACACCGATCAAAGAAGAAGTATGTTTGACAATGAATCTGTGTTGGAATTTGATTCCAGCTTTGAGTCCTTTTCAGTTTTCAATACTTTTTGCTATGGACACATTGCAGTCGGTACCAAAACATTGAGGTTTGACATCCCGTCATCTGAATAGCACATACCACTCTGAAGCATAGTCACACATGCAAGTTTGATACTGAACATTTCGTTAAAGCCAGTGTTTTAATGGGCCTCGCTGCCCCTCGCTGTATATGTCAGTTTCTTTTGTGATTTCCATTTTGTTTTAAAATGCATATGAATGAATGTGTTTTCTGTTTTCCTGCTGATGTGCATTTGTGGTGCTAATGTGCTTGAACGTCATTGGTCGGGAATACTAATCACTTTCACCTTTGAGGCTGCCAACCTGATCTGTTGTTCAAAATCCTTATACTGTATGCAACATGACTAATCCCCTCCGTCATCCCCAATCTCTCTGATAATAATGGGTAAAGTGAAGATTGCTCACAATTAAATCTTTTGGTGTGATTGGCTTTAAGGAACAGAAAGCCACCTTTGAATGGCTGAAGAAAGAGGCCGTCAGGATTGTGAAGGAGGACGGGAGGAGAAGTCAGAAGCAGAGCAAGAGAAGCCCCTCACCTGGGTCACCAGAGTCCGAGAGTGACTTCCTACGGAGGAGCAAGCGCCTCAAAGAATCCCGCCCAATCAATTTCAGAGAGATAGAAGATGCAGATGAAGAGAGTGATGCAGAGGAGGCTGATGAAAGCGAGCTGGCAGATCCAGGCCCTCAGGGCGGACTCTCTGGTATGGAGTTCCTCCTGGGAGACCTGTTCTGCTCTGCCCCCAAGAGCAGGCAGAGTTCCGTGGAGGAGTCTGTAGACATGGAGATGTCTGTCTTCAGAGCCGACAAGGGGGCTTCACTGGGAGTGGAGCCCCTGCAGTGGTGGAGGACGAAGGCAGTGCAGTTTCCACTGTTGGCCACAGTGGCACGGGCCTACCTGGCTGCCCCGGCAGTGGCAGGTAGCGCCGCACTAGACTTTGCGCAGGAAGGAGCGTTAGCCACGCACAAGAACAGAGCCAACATTGCCCCAGAAAGTTTGGACTCTATCTTGTTTCTGCACCTCAACCACATGCCCACCACTGAGAGCGAGCCAAAAGCGGTTAGGAATGACGACAAAAACTGTGGGATATAAAAGGTCCCATTCTCACACAAACCACATTCATTCCTTTTTTCAAAGGCTCTGAATTTAACCCTCTCGACTACATGTATGACATTTATCCTCCTTGTCCAGCAAAGATTTAACATTACACTAAAGAGAAGAAAGAAAAAACATTTTGTACTGCGTCTAGTTTGGACTGTTCTTCTGATCAACTTTTAACTTTTTTATATCATGTATGAATTACCTTGTAGCGCCTAGTGCCTTACCTCTGTTGGACACAATTATACCCTAATGCTAACTTCTAACATAAAGCTGTGATTTAGAGTGTGTAGATTGTCAAAACATAAATAAGTCCTCCATGGTAGCATTGTGTAAAACTGTTACCATGTGTCGTTGCTTTCAGACTCATTCTTTTGTTTTATGAATCAGTATATCATGAAAGAAGACTCCAAAGACTGAATACCAAATGCTACTTGTTTCGAACATAAGTTGCTAATTCATTTTGAATTTTACAGAGACATTGTTCACTTGTTGTTACTGCTGTAATTCTGAAGGTAATTTGTTTTATTTTTAATAAATAATGTTTGACTCACCAGATGCAGACTTGTGACGTGTTGGGAAGGTTACTTCTGAAAAGTAATTACAGAATGTTAATTACCCTGTTGAAAATGTAACGTCACTATTTGAATTACTTCATGAAAGTAATTTAAATTATTAAGTTTGATTTATTTCCAAAACAAATGTTTCAAAGTGGCAATAAAGCTGAAAAGACATCAACTTAAACCAGGCAGTGTAAACCTCACAACAGTACTCAACTCTGATTACGGTGAAACCTTTTATTAAAAATAACTTGAATTAAAAGTGGAACAGAGCTACAGCCTGAATGTTACATTCTACATAAGCTTTTTTTTATTGAAAATATTTTTGAAATAATACAGCTGGCTGCCTAAAACTCTCCCAAATCATAGCACAACCGATCAGTAGTTGTTGAATAACGTTAAAGTGGGATAAAGTGAAGAATAAGAGGCTTTAGTACAAAGAGGTCACGCGAGGTCGTCATTTTTGAACCAGCTGTCGCAGCTCTTACATTGTACTTTTATACACTATATAACTATATATTTCGCTTTTTTTATCACTCATATTATTCAATACATCCAAATACAGCCGTTAGAAATCATTTTGACAGCAAGGGTCCTCTCGGAGCATGTTTCTGGCTGTCATCCATAGGATTTTCTCAGTTGATCTGTGTGTATGGGGCTGTAGCTCAGCCTATCATCGGTCGATTTCAGTCAATGAGCCCGCCTTCGACGCGTCAGAGTCTCAGGAATGCATGCGTCGAAGCGGGCTTGATTGACAGATTTTTCAGCAAGTAAAGTTGCAAGAAGTGCCGCGTCTCCCCGAGCGTAAATTTCCATTCGCCGGAAGTCTGACCACTCGCCCATGGTGGATTGACCCCCCCTTCCACAGGAAACAGTTCACAGGAAGACAGGATGCAATTGCCAACAATGATTCTAGCTTACAACCGGATAATTTTCGATGTTATTGTCCTAATTTTTCATAAAAGGTGACCAAAAACCAACGATTTTTTTCGGCGAAGACCACTGCCATGGTACCGTTGTCCACTCACAGCTTTCTACTGGTTCCACGGAGAGAACAACCTAAGGTATTTATGCCTTCGCCGTCGAATGCTAATGCTAAAAAATGCATTGCTTAGCTCGGTAGCCGTTAGCTTTGTGGTCCAAAATCGATGTGCAGTTAAATATGAGGGCGATTTTTGGCCACAAATTCGTCCTTTTTATGCCACATTTTCTAGATGCTTATATTAGTAGTCTATAGTTGTGTTTGGAGTGTGTTAGAAGTGACTTATATGATAGTGTTGCCCATACGTTGCTGTTTAATCCGGTAAAAAAAAATGTACAAATCCACAATATTTAGCGAACAACAAGGGCATTTTCTGAACAATATTTTCAGGGGGGCTGAGCCCGATAGCCCCCAAATTCGGGGGCGTCATGTGCAAGAGGTTTTAAGGGGGAGATCTCCCAGCCCCTGTGGTAAGTTGACGGACCTCCAGCACGGCACACGACTGATGCATACTTTATGCACACACTCCTACACATACTAACATCCGTTTCTAGAGTTAAGAGAGACCCGGGGAAGTCCCGCTCCAAGCCGGTCCCAAAGAACGACTGTGAGTTTGAAAGAGCTTTGTAACTGTTGGGCTCTGAGCAGGGAAATAAAAATTTTAAAGACTTTGTAAAACCGACGGCTATTCGAGCGACAGATTATACTATTTAGTATATCAATGTTTGGCGATTCGGAAAAGAAAGCAAACAGAAATCGATTGTGCTTTTGCTGGTGATCTATTAATATTTGGGTTAGGGTTAACCCTTTTTTTATAGTTTATATAATAAAAGATCGATACTTGGCGTCCTTGTATCGATACAATATCGCCACGCAAAATATCGCGATACTATGCTGTATCGATTTTTTCCCCCACCCCTACAAGCTAGGACCACTGATTCACCAAACCTGCTTGCTTGCAGTCTGTGTTCCACCACAGTCCCCGACGTTAGTCTCATGATTAATTTTTTTTCTAAAGATAGATTTGATTTTGTAGCGAGTAACGACGGTTTCAGGCGAAATGTATCGGAGTAAAAGTATCAGTTTTCTTTGCAAAATGTAGTGAAGTGAAAGTGAAAGTAAACAGAAATATAAATAGTAAAGTAAAGTACAGACGACTTAATACTTTATACACCACTGTTCACACGTCTTCTTGACACTTACATAGAGCGGATCACAATGGAGCTGGTGCTGGATGAGATGGTGGATTGGAAACTGGACAAGCAGCCCCAGAGCTGATATTGACATCGCCATCCCTGACATCTTCCCAAAACGAGACATCGGGAAGCGAAAGGAGATATTAAACCGTCAAAAGAAGAGTGAGAGGAGCGGCAGATTGAGGGATAAGAAGGAGGTTGTTAACTGAATTTGCTGTCGACAAAGTGTGGTGGAAATATGAACTTACGCAATGCTGACAAAGACTTGGTGGCCTCAGTAGAAGGAGCTGTTGACAACATACAGGATAAAGGTGAGGTACTGCAGAGAGGACAGGACAGGTGAAACACACACAGAAGAGGAAACACTGCAGGGAGGTCAGGAAGAGGGCCAGAGGGGATGAAGGTAGGTCAGCTTCCCGCTTGGTTTCACCTAAGAAATAGATGAATGATGAGGAAAGTTGGAAAAAAAAGTGAAGTCTTTGTAGGAACTACCAAAAGAAAGATGACTCGAGGTTGAAATATAGATAGATGTATACTTTATTCATCCCCAGGGGGAAATTAAAACATACCATAAAAATTGGAAAGGAAGAATTTAATTGTGATCACTTACAGATACTCTGTTTTTCCCCCTGTCTGTTTTGTTATTGTGGGCCATGTGCTTATGTTTTGTTTTTTGTGTCAGCCTACAGTTTCCACCCCCGTGTTCCGCCCACTTCACGCCTCTCTCCTTAGGCTCAGCTGTGGCTCATTCCAGTGATCGCCGCTGGCTGGCTTAAATACCTCGGCGTTTCACTGGCGCGTCGTCAGTCCGTCCAGTTACCAGTCTGGTCACAGTGCACGTAAGTCAGAACACCGATTCTGTGAAGATCGTTATCAGTTTGTTTTCTGCTCCTTTGCTGCTCAGCGTCGATCCCTGGAAGATCACTTGTGCCTTCTGTTTGCTGTGTCGGACCTCGGGCCTCCACACAGTCGCGCCGTCCTGTTCCTCCAGACCCTTTCCAGTTTTGAGTATGGTCGAGTTTCCCTCCCGTCTCCGGAGGCTACCTGTCCTGGCCTCGGTTGAGCTTCCCTCCCGACTCCGGTGGAGAAAGAGGAGTGACTTTAATTTGCTGGACAGTTAGCCTTTGTTTTTGTTTGTTCATTCTTTGTCTCCTCCTGCATAATTAAAATAAAGACTTTGGCTGGAGTAAACCTGCTGTGTAAGTGTGCGTTTGGGTCCACCTACTACACTACCCCTTAACAGCCACATTAGAAGGGATTATATACATCACAAGAGGGAGATGTCTGTATGAGGATTGTTTAAGGAAGGATGCCCTCTAACAATAAGCAAATATTGCAAGTTTTTTTTTTTTTTTTTTTTTTTTTTTTTAAATTTTTTAATGTCACTAAGCTACTTTACAAACGGACACACAACCCAATTAACCATGCTGAATATTTTACAGTCAAACAGTAACATTAGGGAACAAAACCTTGAACATCTTGCCTGATCTTCTTTGCTTTTTACAATGACCAGATGCGCCCCTCTGTCTCTGCAGTCCTGTCTGCTGTCCTCCCAGCTCATTAGTCTCTTACTCTTTAGTGACACTATAGTGCTGTTTGTGGGACAATACATCTGCTTTGTTTGTTTTAGCTGTCTGCAGCTCAGTTATGTTGATTTATTGTGGGAGGGTCCATTAATGTGCACTGCAATAGTGGAACAAGTATTCAGTTATTTTACTGAAATAAAAGTAGTAATGCAGTGTGAAAATACTAGGTTACAAGGTTTTAATTTGTCATTGTCCGACAGGGTTGCACAACGGAATTTAGACTGTTTGGCTGACGATCCGAACTGCCTGGGGTCTGTTTGTGAAAAAGTCTAATAACCAGTTGCAGAGTGAGGTACTCAAGCCCAGACTGCTAAGTTTACCAATCGGTTTCGTGTGGGAGATTGTGTTGAAGGCTGAGCTGAAATCAACAAACAACATTCTGATGTGGGTGGTGTTATTTTCCAGATGAGTGATAGCTGAGTGGAGAGCAGTGGAGACGGCATCCTCTGTGGATCTGTTAGCTCTGTATACAAACTGGTGAGGGTCCAGGCTGGCTGGGATGTTGTTTTTGATGTGCTGGAGAACCAGTTCCTCAAAGCACTTCATCAGAATGGGGGTGAGTGCCACAGGGCGATCATTTAGATTAGACTGCAGACTGGCTGTCTTGAAGCAGGTGGGAACACTCTCCTGTGACAGTGATATGTTGCAAATGTCAGTGATGGCATCAGTTAGCTGGTTGGCACATGTTTTTAGAACACGACCAGGGATGTTATCAGGCCCAGCAGCTTTACTCATATTCACTCTCATCAGGGTTTTCCTCACATCCGCTGTGGATACTGACAGTGGCCGGTCCTCTGGAGGCGGGGAAGGCAGGCTTGGCAGCTGACTCTTTGTTGAGGAGATCAAAGAGAGCATAAAAGGTGTTCAACTCATCTGGTGACTTGGACACATGATGGGGGCGCCCCTGCTTTTATAGCCTGTGACATTTTTGATCGGCTGACGCATATCTTTAGACGGAGAGAGAGAATCCTGTGGGCATATTATTACGAACACAGGTGATTTTTCGTTTCCCAAAAAAACACATTTTGTGTGTAAAAAAACGGCTGCTCAAAAATACCTTGTATGTGTCTGCTTGGATTTGAAAGTTCACTTAAGCAAAATTCTTGTAAAAGGACAGTATTATAATCACAATGTACTTTAAGTATCAGAGGTTTGGCTACTGGTTATACAGGATAACCCCTTTCAGAATGATATATTAATATATATATATTATCATATTGTAGGATTATAATTACCGATTATTATTGGGGAATTTTGTTCCTAGCTTCTGACATTTTATAGACAAACGATTAAATGATCAATTGTAAGAATAACTGGCAGATAAATTAGTAATGAGAATCGATAGTTGCAGCCTTACTCGTTTTAACTATTTTATATACTGCTGGGTAGTTAAAATTATAACAAATCATCAAGATTTAATAAGCTCATCATATATTTTGGATATAAACTTACAAAGCATAGTAATAATCTTTAACTATAATCTCATAAATGTGTTGGAGTAAAAGAACAATATGTATCTCTGAAATGTAGTAGAAGTATGGAGATGCATAAAATGGAGATACTCAAGGAATGTACAAATACCTCAATGTTTTCTCAGGTAAAGTACATGAGTAAATATATTGTTGACCACCACTTCGCAGTCCCCAAAATAAATTTGAGTACAACTCATGCATTGGCTATAATCCTGCATTGTAATAGCACCAAATGACCACATGAGGGCAAGATGTGCCCTCTGCTGATACGTGGCCTCTTTAATTTTAGAGGATATTTCCATAAGCAAAACTAAATTAATGTAAGGTATTCCGTTTAATGGCTGGAAGATGAGAAAATGAGGCAATCCTGAATGGGTATGAAATACAATGGCCGTAATTAATTATACCATTTACTTTATTAAAAGTATAGTATAATTCATACCAGGGACTACAAAGACTATTTCTATGGAAGCCCATTTCTGACACTGTGATGAAACTTTCTTAAAAGAATAACTTAGTATTCATAATTATGATTTAATATATCATAATAATGACCTAGTATCTCAATTATGATTTATGAGTCATAATTATGAGAGGGGAATTTTATTAAATGTGTTTTTATTATTACATTTAATTAGTTCTTATTATTTTAAATAATGATTTCATAATATTAATATTAATCAAAAGCCACATAACGTCAATAAATGTAATTGCACTGTTTTTTTGCTATAACCTATTAACAAAAGCTGTCAGACAAAATGAATAAGGGAATCATGAAAAGCAGTGGCGGGCCGTGCAGTTTATACCTGGGCCTTCATTGCTGTCCTGCAGCTGAAATACCTCTTTATGACGCTACGGTTATTATTTGTTTCGCGTAAAAATGAAGCTCAACACCTATAAATACACTAACTGCAGAGTGTAGATAACATTACATGAATATGCGCATGCGATGCTGCGTCATTAACGGACAATGCATTAAAAAAACTGCGGAGCTAAAACACGCATTCCACTGCACACTAAAGAGCACGGGCCATTCAGATATTATTCACATCAGAGGGAACAATATACACCATAGACACATGAACACGGGAGTAACGCTACGATCACTCCCTCCAGGAAATACACGAAACCGTAGTTCTTGTTACTGACGCATTTATTCGTCTGTCAACACCGAGAGGGAAAATGAGTCCACTTGAAAACACATGAATCTTCAAAGATGATCACTTAAACACTTTAACTTAAACTTAACTTTAACACTTTGCGAGGAGTATATAGACTTCTGCCGCTTCACGTGTCTTCTTGTTGCTGTGCAGCGACTAAATGTGTCCTGAGGGCAACATTGGACGTAACAATAGTTCCTATCAGGTTTAAAACCAAACAAAATCCATATTCATAAAAACAAGTTGTACACATAATATATAAACAAGCATAATAAAGCTACTGCAGATGTAAAAACAAAAGCAGTTCACTTACCAAAGCTGTTGTTCACTATTTAAAGACAAAGTCCATCCTCCTTTCTTTGATTACAAAAAGTTTAATCTCACGGTTGTTCAGTACATCCGTGCGGTTCAGTTCCAGCAAGAGGTCCTTCTCGATTCATGGACGCCAGTGAAGACAGTCGAGCCTCCCCAGTTGTATTTCTTGAATACGTTTTAATGTGTTTGAGGCTGAAAATGTCTGCTCCACAGAGGCAGCAGATATTGGGATTGTCACCGCCAAACATGTCAGGCTGGCCCACTGACCAATCATGTAGTTGTAGGCCAGCTAGCAGGCTCTGACACGTCAAAGAATACGCCCAATATGTCAAACTAAAGATCCGATTGGTTGAAGACTATGACAATCAACAATATCGTCCCCATTCACTTAAAGTGCAAAGGGATGCACTTGTGAGTCTGCAGGCCTTGGGCCTCTCTTCTTACCTAGAGACACAGAGGTGAGATCTGATTGGATAAAAGCTCTACTTAAAACAAGCTGCACTGGAAGCAGAGCAACTGAGGAAGACAGTAGCTGTGCAATGAGAACATAAGCTAATGGGGAAAATAATTAGAAGACATGTAGTGTATTTATGAAAAATAATTAAATTATGAAATAGCTATAACTTTGTGATTCTGTCAGCGCCAGCAGAGAAGGCCTTACTGGCCCTGACGGCCCACCACTGTGAAAAGTAATATTGTCATTATGTCAACCTACATTTCAAATTTCAAATTTGAAAAACGCCCCCTCATGCTGTTCCGCTCCTTTCTCGTCCATGCTGCTCGCCCCCACCTCTTCCCCCCAGCGGAGAGGAAGAGCAGCGACAAGTGAACAACAAGCCAAGGCAAGGAAGATAGGAACTGCATAGGTGGGTGTTTTCTCTCCGTCTTCATTCAGAGCGCTCTCGCCCTGCGGTGGACAGTTTATTTGTGCAGTTGTAATGTGTTTGCTCGACCACGCCGAGGTTGTTTTTGTTGTCTCATCTCAACTCACTTCCTCTCCGAGCTGCGGGTCGAGGTTTTTTGGATCGTGTCAGCTCAGCAGCAGCAGCCCTCGGCTAGGCTAGGCCTGAATCCACCTCGCAAACACTTATGGACTTTGAAAAACAAGCATAACACTCTACAGAATCGGTAAAGGCCCGTCTTTTGGTGTTTCGTGCTCGGTACAGCTGGTCGGGATGTGTTGTAGGTTGGAAAAACCTTTTTATTTTGGTGAACTTGGTTGTTGTAAACGCAGCGTTAGCAGGGTAGCTACGATGGCACAAGCTAATTCAGCTAGCATAGGTGTATTCCTGTCGTTAGCATGATGGATAACTTATTTAGAGTGAGAGTTTGGGAAAAGTTAAATAAATCGTATACGTGTATTTAAAACGGGTTGATATCAAGAAAACTAAAACACATGAACTATCCATGTAACGTTGTCTAACAGTTTGTTACATGAATGGTGTGGTTTGTGGGTGGCAGCTATAACGTTATAACATTACACGTTGAGTCTTATGAGATACCAGGCTTAACCGCCGGTTTGTTCACGAGCTATAAAGGTACTCACGACAGGTGAGAGTACACGGAAGTGATCGGCCAGCCCGCCGCGTCACAGACCGCAAGTTAGGAGTCGAAGTCCAGTGTGTCTTATCAGTATGTACTGTACCTGAGACGCCCACTCTCTGCGGACTGTGGAGCTGCACGGTGCTTTCAGGTGACTAAGCTTGCATGGCGTGTCTTTTTTGGAAGACTTTTGTTCATTTGTATGTGTTGAAAACACACTGTTCATTGTTTCAGCAGCTGTCTTTAGATGTGGTCTGCAAGGTAGAGGATGGAGACATGAGGGGTGGTGGAGCGAGGGGGGCAAGAACCTGTTGTGTGGGTCTGGATGTGTGGGTGTGGTAATAAGGTGGCAGGCATGTTTGTTGCCTCATTATTCAGTCCCTTGTGCAGAGGCTTGCTACTCAGACACCTTCTCCATTTCCAGTTCTTCAGCGTGAACGGGTGCTGGATTACTCAGAGGGACCTGACTGTATCTGCGTTAGTGGATCGCTCCTGGAGTAAGCTTGCTGCTCTTAGTTTGCGGTCCTTAGTTTCTGTGTGTGTGTGACGTTCCACAATAACAACATGCAGACCAACCTGACATGTTTGACCGCTTGTCTGAAATAACTGAGTTGTTGATTTGAGTTGGTTCAGTCAGCTGATCGGTGAGTTTTAGTGCAGCATGGACGTGCCTGTCATATTCCTCTTTATGCCCTGGGGCATGCTGGAACAGAGATGAAAAAGATTGGGAGCAAGTGTGGACATGCAGCTTCTCAGAAATGTTCCTTCTGTGAAGATGTAAAAAAAAAGGAGGGGCAAAAATCTTAAGTTGGACATTTCTTTCGCTGCCTAGTTTTCCGAGCCATTTCGTCTGTGGGGGCTGAAGTCTTTGCTAAGCCAGTTGTTTTAACCAGGGCTATCATTTGTGAGCCTCTGTAATGACGGGCTTTCAGAGCACACCACGGGTGTGTCCCTCTGACACACACAAGCTAGGTTTTTCTTATATTTGCTCCTCCTCCCTGTCTGTTCTCTCTCTCTCTCTCTCTTCCGCTGTCTACTTCCAATGGTTACACCTACAGTCTGTTTTTATTTGAACGGTGTGCACGTCATCTTGCTTTCTATGCAGTGAAGGACATGTGAGATAGTGTACACGGAGCGAAATCAAAGTGCACAGATTTCTAAATCCATGAAGGGAAACTGTCGTTCAGTGTTGGTGGTTATCTTCTTGGAAAGAATTGAGCGCCAGTTCGCACTTTTATGGTCCTCACTGCAGCTATTTAACCCACTTCCTTGTTAAGTGGTAGTCACACTCTGATTGCAGGTCACCAGTGGTGAAATCTTTACAGACTGCTGAATGTTGGTTTTTAGTTTGTTTGGCGATTGACCAGGAATGTTCAATATTTGTCAAGTTTTTACACGTGTTTTGTAATTTTAAATGTAGTATTACTAAACTTCTGTGTTTTGTGATTGTGATGAGTAAACATCTCATTATTGACGAGGATGAATGAGGTTTAATTGGAGAATAAGATGGTTTAGTTGGCCTAAATGTAGAGCTGGCCTACATTGACTAAATTAAATATGGCCATATCTTACAACTGGGGAGACGGTACACCAACATTTGTTGACTTCCAGTGAACTCGTGATAATAATGTTAGTTTATGACATATAGTCATAAACAAAGAAATTAAGTTTGACATGTGTCAGGAGTTTTTTCTGATACCCATTGCATTGCAATAATGTGATTACTCATCATTTTGATTATTTTCTATGTTTACTTTTGATTCACCTTGGTTACATTTACATACAGTAGTTTAGGGGTACAGAAACTTGCACAAGACACCGTGGCGGTGCCCAGGAGGTGAAGTAGCTGCTCTTTTGCTACCAGATGACACTCGGTACTTTATCCGTGCAGGGACGTGAACCCGCCACCTTCTGGTTCCCAAGCCAAGTCCCCATGAGGTGGTTAGCCACCCAGATACTGATAAATTCTGTCTTGTGATCGATTTAGTTCAAAGGTTGTGACCTAATCAATAGCCACAATTGTTAAATTTAGGCATTTGCGTGAAATGGCCCTCCACTCTTTTTTGTAAAAGTCTGCTGGAGGTAAATTACCAATTGAATGGAATGGCAGAGCGGATAATGTAATTAATTGTACATTTCACACAGAAAAACAATAAGTAGAATCAGCAGAAAATGAACTGCATTTTTGATTATAAAAGTTATTAAGCAAGCAAAAATGCCCAACATGTTCAGGTTGTAGCGTTTCTGAGGGTTTGTTTCTTTTTCTGATATATTCAGTAATGAAAATAATCATTCATTGCAGCCCTTATTTGATACATTTCACTCAAACTAGTTGATACTGTTGCTGAGGAGAAATTATTTTGTAATGTGGCCATGATGGCCAAGAAGGCATTTATTGTTTATTGTTCATTTCACTCTGCCAGGACATTTATCACCTAACTATAATGCTGCATTAAGAAAAAACCCAGATCATATCCAGCCTCTGAACCTATGGTTGAACAGATTTTTTTGGCTGTTTCATGCTCTATGAATTACAGTCGCCTGCATGTTTCCTTCCTCACTCAGAATAGTAACGTGGTGTCCTGTAGATTAGACAGCTGGCCTTGCAGAGGTCCCCGATATGTCTATGCGGTGGGTGGGCGTCTGTGCATGTGCACACTCTCTGCAGCTACCGCACCGAAGGGGGGTTTGGTGGTTTCAAGTCAGGACGACAAAGGCGGTAGTATTTGGATGCGGGCCAAGGCTAACACACACAACACACACAGGCCAAATCTCTGTGTGACCATTCAAATGAGGCTGAGTCAGCGTAGCACTTGGCCAAGCCACAACGTGTGTGTGTGAGTGTGTGTGAGTGAGTGAGTGACTGCCAGAACCACTAAGTTGCTGAAATAGCATATGATAATGAAGGAATACACAGCAGTCTTAATACTCAGTGGGCTCTGGGTGACAGACTGTCTGTGACTTCACAAAGTTTTCAGTGAGTAGTGGACACTGATAGTGTGTGTACATCTGTGTTGGCTCAGGATGGCAAGTGGCTTAGCAGTGTAGTTCTAGGGCTATCCCATTAGCAGATAATTTAGCGTAGCTGCTAATGGCCCTACAATAGATTAATGCCCAGGCTTTAAGTGGCTAAAGCCTTTTAACACTCTCTCACAAGCCACTACTCCCTTCCACAAAAAACGTCAGTGGTGGGACTCGCGTAGCTGTAGAGCTTGTGTGGTTCTGTCGCACGGAGACACAAGAGGCCGTCTTCCTCTATGCTCTAAAAGAAGTGTTGACGTTTTGACAGAGCCGCAAAGAATAACCCATACTGTGGTATGTCGACTTATCTGACATATGCCGTCAGTACTCCATTGCCAAGTTGAAATCTTGGTCCCTGTTATGTCCCTGTGTGTTATGTACCGACGGCTGACACAACAAACATATATTTGTAGCTTGGCACATCTAGTTCCCCGTTTTCTTTTTGAGTTTGGGATCTCGGCGAAGAGATCTGTCGTTGTTGAGTGAAGTCAAGGTTTTAAGTTGTGACGAATTCTTAGCTTTACACAGGGGTGACATATACCCACTTGAGATCATTTCAAAACCATCACTCCATTTGTGAACATTATCCACTAAAGAAGCACTTTGTCGGTTTGTGGTCGGATGTCCCTGCTTGGATCAGAGAAAGTAATGGGGCTCGACTCTTGTCTTGCCAGGATTGAAGTGTTTGGCCAGGAAGATGGATGAGTGAGTGAAGGGCTCCCTTATTAGGACAGTTTCCAACAGCTGAGACAGGATATGACACGCTAAATCTCACTGTGGAATGTATGACAATGGCGGTGGCGTGTGTGTTTGTGCGGCTCATGTGTGTTTCTGTCCACAAATGGGTCTCCACACACACACACACACACACACACACACACACACACACACACACACGTAAAGAAACAAGGCAGTATTAACTTCACCAGAACTTGCCACAACTCTGTTTGAGTATACAAGGATATAACCACCAGCCAGGCACACCCACCACCTTTATTTAGTCTCTGACCCACATACACAATCACTCGCCCTTACACAGATGTGTGCACACACACCCGTGCTGGCAGTTGTGCACACTCAAAACTTCATACAGGAGTCTTTGTTCACTCAGCCAGTCCAGTGTGTGCAGATGGAGAGCAGATTTGATCTACATGAGTCAGTGAACTTTGAAGTAGAAAATGTTTTATGTTTTTTTGCCCCGGTTTGGAGATGAGCCACGCTCATGTCATCCCGTTATTACACAGACACTGTAGAAATACTCTTCCACTGATTCCTCATTCCTCCCTCACCAGCGTCCCTGCTGAGGAAGTCTGTCATTGTTTGATTTTGGGCCGGAGTTCACTTGTTATCATGCCTCCGTAGTTTCGGTTTAGGTCATGCATGGCACCTGTTCAAGCTGCATTTTCTTCCAAAAGTCCAGGCTGACATGTTGACAATTTAAAAACCAACTGTCCTACTTATTTTCGTTGCTGTTTTGCACCATAATTCTGTGAAGGCACGCGTCTCTATTGCTGCACAATGGATCATTGGTATTTGTCATGATGCCTTGCTTACATAGTTAACGGTCATGTAATTCAGACTCTTATTTTGAAATGTATGTCGGAGTATGTTGCCTTCCCTTGAAATGTGTGGTGTCAAGCCCATCCTTTATATTTGAATAATCTCACCATGTTAGGAAAGTAAAAGTTCAGAAGTAGAAGCAGACAGGTTCTACCAATTTGTAAGAAGATGTGTTGGTGAGCACAGGAAAGAGTAACAAATGTGAATTGTTGTCTGAAGTCACTAGAGTCTGTCAACCAAATAGAATTTGCCTTGGGGGTAAAGTTGTGCTCTAAAGCACTAAATATTCATTTTATTTTAAGCAAAGAGGAAGGAATTATTATCATGCATCGGCCCTTATGTGTCTTTAACATTGACATCATTGATGTATTGCATCCATTATAACTTGCAGAGCACTGTAAGTATAGTAGAAAGATGGGAAAACGAAGCGGGTCTTGTTTTCCCTGCTGTGGAGAACACACCCTCTCAATTCAAAAACACCTGGATTTTTAAATTTGGTGAAACTTGATCGTGTGATGCCGTCTCTCCAGAGCTCCTCTGAATGCCCTCACACGTGCACTCGTCTCCCTCCTTCTCCCTCACTTTCCCTGCATCCTTGGAGTGAAGAAGTGCTAACGAGCTCCACACGCTGTAATTGTCTCTCTTCATGTATCTCACCTTCTCTCTATTTTTAACCTCGCACAGCAGAAGGTGAAAAAACGCTCTGAAAACTTGCTGGTAGTTCGCTTCCATTCCCCCCCCGCTCAGCTGATGCTGGGCCCACCTCGAAGTTGAACCGAATAATCACTTTTTGTAGTTTGATTCTCAAATAGTGAGCTCTCTCTTTGTCCCTGCTGTTCGTCCTCACTGTTTTCTCGCTCTTGTTCTGTCTACTCACATCTTCTCTGCACCTGCTTCTTTATCTCCCCAGTTCTCTCTCTCTTGCATCTTTATCTTCCCTTGCTTTTCCCTCCTGCGTCAGCTCCTGCTGCCTTTAACCTCTAAATTTCCTCTTCATTAGCACTTCAACTGTGTGCGTTCCCAGATGTGCACGGTGCCGGGGCCCTTCTGTCTTTGTATCTAATGTGCATGGGTGGTTCAGCCTCGCTGTATATCTTGTACTTTGATTGAATCCCGGTGTTGGTTGGATCTCCTCTACTCTCTGGTGTTGACCCTGTCCTGTCCTGTGCTGTGCTGTGCTCTGCTCTCAGCGAGTGAATGGAGCAGTGTGCGAGTACGGCCTCCCTGCTGGCCTCGGTGCGGGAGCAGGAGAGGCAGTTTGAGATGCTGAGCCGAGCTCTGGAGGAGGAGCGGAGGTCGTGTGCCGGCACCCTGCCCCGCCCCCTCCCCAACATGCAGGTAACACGGAACAACCCCCCACCACCACTTTCCACCCACCCTCACCCACATTTTCCATCGAAAAGTCCTTTGGATTCACCCCATCCCATCTGTGTGGACTGGCTGGATGGCGGCAGAATCCAAACCAAATCTGTAGCAAAAAAAACCTCCTCAGTAGGTTTTTGTCAGGCTGGAGTCAAAGTAAAAGAGGTGACTGAAGCACCTCCCAATACAGCCTTCCTGGGGAGGTCATTTGCACCCTCTGGCCATTTTTCCCATCCTCCATTGGTTCCTCCGGTAACAGTTCATGTCTTATTCAAATCAAAAGTCCTCCCATCATCATCATCATCATCATCGTCATCGTATCTCTCCACCAATCAAGCTTAACAACAGTGTAACCCATCATGTTTGTCTTGACTTGTCCGTTGGAGTTCGCATGCAGAGCGATGTCTTGGCTGACATAATATTTGTTGTTATATTGGGCTTTTCCCAGTCGATCATCAAGAGTTTGCCCATGTAGCTACAGTCAGCCAGCTGGTTTATTTATAATGTGTTGTATTTATATTTGTGGTATAATAAACACCCCCTCAGCTGCTTTTTCAGTGTGGCAAAGTCCTTTTAGTTCGGACAAATGTCCAGTCCTGTGTCATCGGCTATGAATTCTTGGTAAACATCTTGATTATTGAGTCTGTTTTCATAACTAAAGTGTGGTCTGCTGTTTGCTTACACAGTCTTTATCACCTGTGGGTCAGTTACCTGTTGAGAGACTGCAGAGTGGCTTCATGCTCTGAGTTTACCTCGCTGGCACACCCACCAGCTCTCGCTTGTTCTTTTGCTTCCTTATTGACATGCTCAGTCATTAGCGTGCGTGAGTAAACCAGCACACACACACACACACACACACACCTTTGTCTCTGAGGCAACCTTTGAAACACGCTCTCATAAACAAACTGGGCTCTCTCACTTTCCTTCTTTCGTTTGTCGCTCCTGCATGTGGGCAGGCATTCTCCAGGACACATCCCAGTCTCAGGTATTTCTAGTGGCAGATAAGGCGCAGAAACGTCGGTTGTGCGTGTTTTAATGAGAACAGGACAGAAATGTAGCCTGTGCTGGTTCTTATCTCTGTTGTGTGTGTGTGTGTTTACATAGCCCAAAGGCTTCGGCATGCCTCGGCTACTCTCCCAGGCAGCACAAACCCGACCTTAGTCATTACTGACAGGTTCCCACATGCTCACATCTGCCCTGCACTTTCTACTATTCTCTCTGATGGAGTCCTTATCTGAACTAGAGAGATTTGCTTTAACTAAGTCTTGTTTATTTGATCTAGGCAAAGTAGCACTTAAAAAGGTTGTCATTGCTCCTCCTGCAAGTATTATTTCCAGCTTTTTATTATTTAAAATATATTTCTGTCAGCTTGAGACAACTGTTTCCCATCTCTGAATCACTGTTGGGAAATCTTCCCCCTTGGCTGTGCTCTTAACCCCCATTGTAGTGGAGATAAAGCAGGAGAGATGCAAAGAGCTCCCCCTGTGGCTGGAATGAGAAGAGCACCACACCCAGCGGCACTCTTAGGCAGGCAATGCTGGTGGTGTCAACTCATAAGAGAAAGAAGTTTGTCTCTTTGTTCGTCTCTCTCTGTGAATCACTATTCATTTCATCACTAATTATTTCATCCTTTTAATCGCATTATCACAATTCATTCATAAGTTTGTTGGATTAGTGTGTTCTGTTCAGTTTGTGTTTAAGGGTTGAGAGTGTTGACATGAAAGCCTTTCTTTGTGTTCATGAGGTTTACATACCTTTGGTCTTCATGTCATTCTTACCCGCCGTCTAGATCACAAGCGTGTCAAGATGCGTTTTTTTTTTTTTACTCGCACGTCTCAACCAACACTCTCACACTCTTTTTAATTTATGCAGCCGTCTGCACTGTTTTTGTGCAGGCTCTCGTCTCAGCTGCATCTTACGGGTGGAACCGCAACCGTTTATTTGCGCTTCAAGTCTATTTTTTTCGACAATACGCAGTTAAAAGTGAGGTCGATTACCAATAAAACACCACTACTTCATTACATTACAACTATTTCAGTTTACTACATATTGTAGGGGTTTATCATTATATTGCCGTTTTAGAGCGCGAGGCTGACGTGACATTTGTGTTCTAGAAACAGGGTGACGGCCCAGATTTTGGCTGAAATGCACAGCAAACTTCAAACCAAAGCATTGAACTGTTTTGTTTCCAGTTTGGCCATCATGAGCTAGTTGCATCATCGTAATGCAACACATTAGAAAGAAATTAAGCAAAGTTTTTTTCTTTTTTTTTTTTTGCTACAGCAGTAATGCAACTTATGCTATGTTCACACTACGAGCGACGAATCAAAAGGCTATAAGCCCTTTTCAGTAGAAGCCGGTGACATGAAACCATAAACTCATTGCATGATGGGCGTGACACGCTACACATTGAACTTTTTCAGCTATGAAATGGTGAAGCGTCATGTGCTTTGGATCACTATTTTATTTTAACCATATCTCTCTCTACCCCGACAATTCCTGTTCCGTTAGGTCAAAAAAATGGAAGAAAAACACATTCTTGCTGTTAGCCAGTTCCCACCGCTATTTAACAAAAATAACGTCAACGAATGCTTGAGAAACACTTCTGCAGCAACTCTGCAATAATGTAGCTGGCCAGGCTGGGGCGTTTTTAGTTGGTTTTGTCTCTCACAGTGTGAACATAGCATCAAAGTGCGTAAAACTTCACAAGATAAAGTTCAACATTCAAATGAAAGTTGACGATGGAACCAATCAATGGGTTGGATCCCCTCATATGTATTTTGATCTCCCTGCAGAACGGACGCATTCCTTGTGATGCAGACATAGACAGGCTGACACTGAACGAGGGTTACATCAACGGGACACATCATGTAAGGAGCCCTTCAGCTCTTGAACTCTTAAGATGGTTCACCCCGAGGATATTCCATGTGAGACTTATATTTGAGGGTTTTTTTTCTCTGAAATGTATGTGCAGTTCAGGATGGAGCCTGGTCAGGTGGTGCAGGAGACATACACGGTGGAGGAAGATCCCCAGGAGGTGCCACCTGTTGTCTCTGTGGAGACCGGTGAAGATGGGACCACACGGCGCACAGAAACCACGGTAAATTAGTTTTGTGTCGTGTACATTTGTAGTTTATTTCAAGTTAATCTCTGGATTAACTTGAAAGTCGGTCTTGTTAGTAACATCATCTTAACCGTTGAATCTTGTCTCCCGCCTCCCTTCTTTTGCTTGTTAAGGTAAAGAAAGTAGTAAAGACCACCACCACTCGCACAGTCATCCCTTCCGTGTCAGACACACTTTCCCTGGATGGTGGGGGTTCAGTGACAGGCATGGGGGGCTACCCTGCACCCATGGTCTATAGACAGGGACCCGGAGGTGGCGTGCCCATGGACTACCCCACTCACACTGTGCCCCGCAACTACCAATACGGACCGCCGGTGGGTTACGAGGACTACCGAACTGGGCCCCCATCTGAGGCCTACACAAGCCTTAGCAGGGGAGCTCGCATGGATGATCGCTACAGGTATAGCTTTTGTTGAAGCTCATGTAGATAAGGTAGACATTAACTTTACAATTTAATGGATAATCTGGCCAATAGTTCCATCACTTCCCTGTCCCTTCCCTCTCCAGACAGGTCCATCAAGACGGTTACAGAACTCTGGATCCGAGCTACAGAGCCCCCAGCAGGAACCAGCTGGACCCCTATGCTGCTCAGCCACAGGTATCTTCAACAGTCATTGCGTCACTTTTATCACCTTTTTAACTTGGTCTGCCTACACTTCAAGATTGACTTGCTGTATTTGGTGGTTTCCTTCCATGCTATATGTTTGGATAATATTATTACAGGAGTACACACATATACAAGACCTAGCATGAGTTCACCCCAGCATTTGGCTTGAGGCCTCTTATTATTTTGGATCCTGTCCCTGTGTAGGTTGGGCGTATGGGAAGTGCCATGGAGCTGTCCTCCATGACGAGGTTTGTCCCAGAGCCGTACGGTCTGGAGGATGATCAGCGCAGCATGGGCTACGATGAGTCCGACTATGGCATGGGACACCCGATGCACTACAGCACCGTGCCTCGCAACCACAACGCATTCCCCCATGGGCCCCCACGCAGGACTGGGTAAGTTGTGTGTTTTTGTATTGACTCGTCTGTATCGGGGATGAGTTACGTCTCGATGTATGTTTAACATGTATCTACTCTATGTACTGTCTGTGAGTCAACTTTGAGCGTGATGTTTAATAATTGATGTATAAGAAGAGCAAATAATAACGTTAATTTACAAATGTTCTCCTCCTCCCTCGCCAGGAGTTATGAGGGCACCTTGGATGGCGACATGAGCGGCCCAGGGGACATGTACTTTTGGGGAGGAGCGCCGCTGGCCCAGGGGGAAAGAGGTAGTATGGCTTCATTGGACAGCACTTTAAGGAAAGGTCCCGGTCCTGGCCCCAGTGGCTGGCGTCAACCAGAGCTGCCGGAGGTCATCGCCATGCTGAACTACAGGCTGGACCCGGTCAGGAGTAACGCAGCTGCATACCTGCAGCATCTCACCTACAAAAATGATAAAGTAAGAGATGCAAACGTGCAAGCGTATATTTTTATGATAAAAAGCTTGGTTCCAGTGTGATGCAGGTTGGAATAGACTTTGACTAAATCAGTTGAGGAAGGTAAAGGTTAGGACGCAAGATGATCAGTCATGAGTTTTATAGGGATACATGAGGCATGTATGACAGAGGACATAGCAGAGAAAGACAGAAAGTTATAATTCCACCAGAGTGGGAGTCAAGGTTAGATAAGGAGCAGCTGGATGTGTGCAAAATGTTTAATTGGAACTTGTCCCAAATGTAGAACTGTCAATGTTTTAGTAATGTTTTTTTGCGCCTCAGTCAGCATGCATTGCACATGTGTTTATAACAACATGAACCATAGATGGATCTGAAAAATAAAGCACAGCTTAATAAACAAGGGGAAAAATAGAAAGTCTGTCAAAAGCTGGGGAGACTCTGTCTTAATTTAACTCGTTTGTGTTAATTCACACTACACTCTTTAATCTGCCTTTCTGTGCGAAACTGCGACTTTTATGCTCACACTGAACGTATGCACAGATACCCCGGTTGGTTTTGTCCAATGCCTATTTCAATAAAGTTAATTCAAACAAGATGACATACTGTTGCATCCTCAACAATGTTGAGAAAAAGAGAGATTTGCAGCATTACTTTGTGCAGTTGTATTATGAACTGAATGTAAGTAGAAAAGAAAACATGGAGCTGCAGATGGCTGAAAGATGCAGTTTGATCTGCAGCAATGTTCAGTTTTATAGGACAGCAGGCTCTACACTAGACCTTTAACAACAAAATAATACTCTCGTAACATTAAAACAAGCTCACTATAGTTTTAAGCTCTGGCTTTTCTTCCTTGGTGGTCTTTGTTTTGCTTTGTTTGTACATCATTTTTACTTCTTAACGATATTGATGTTGACATAATTTGGATTTGCTGGACTGTAAAAAATCGGTAAACTAAACTTTTGGGCGCCCGTCTGCATTTATGTTTATGTTCATCCTTTTTCTTTCCAGGTGAAATGTGATGTGCGTCGAATGAAAGGCATCCCAGCGCTGGTCTGTATGCTTGACAACCCAAACAAAGAGGTTAGTTGGCTGACTTTATTCATGGCTTTCTGTTCATTCCTTACTCACTAGTGCGTTGTTGTTGGAGTAGGTGGGGTTTAAGGGATGTAGTGTATTTCTGAGGTAATAGTGAGACAGTTCAAAGGCCGGAGACGAGGTGAACTTGAGACTCGGCTCGAATACCGATTTAGAAAGTGAAATAGAAATAAGCACTACGTTTTTGACTACTCTTGGTCAAATCCTGTCGGTCAACAACTGTGCTAAATATGGTTTCGGCCAAAACATTCTGTGGTTTTTCTACGATCCCCTTTCATTTAGCACAAGCTGTGGCAAGGTTTTGCTGATCTTTGTATGGGCATTACCAGACAAACCACATCATGCATTCCACTCTCGAGGCAAAGAAACATCTTAATTTCACATTTCATGCTGTGCGGCCAGTGACAAGTTTGAAGTCTGAGTTTGTGTGGGATGACTTGCTCTCTAGAGAAATGGGTCAAACAAAAGTCTGTGTGTGGTATGTTGTGTGAAGAGCTTTATAGGATCATGCAAACATGCTCAACAATGTCGTTTGCGTATTAAAATCCGCCCATGTATGTGAGAGCAGTGTTCTCTTGACTAATGGCTCAATAAACTGTTATTGCGTCTTTATTATAGGTTCACTATGCAGCCTGCGGAGCACTAAAGAACATCTCGTATGGCAAAGATCAAGACAACAAGATCGCCATCAAGAACTGTGACGGAGTGCCTGCACTGGTCAGGCTGCTGAGGAAGACCCGCGACCAGGACCTCACTGACACCATCACAGGTGAGGGACAGAGACAACAGCACAGCCCGACCAATGACCGAATTTTTGGATATTAAATATTTACGTTTGGTGCAGGGACGCTGTGGAACCTGTCATCTCACGACTCTGTGAAAATGGAGATCGTGGACCACGCGCTGCACGCCCTCTCTGACGAGGTGATGGTGCCTCATTCAGGCTGGGAGCGAGGGACCAACGGAGCGGGAGGAGGGGAGGAGAACTGCAAGCCCAGATATCTTGAGTGGGAGACCGCCCTCACCAACACAGCAGGCTGCCTGAGGTATGGAGGGAAGAGCTGTTTGACTGCTATATATATATATATATATATATATATATATAGAATCTCTTATTCCACTAATAATCAGGATAATGATACAGACTACGAATGCCTAATGTTTCCTCTCAATCAGAATAAACCCATTCTACTTTGTACTATAAATATATTCTACAACACATTTACTTGCACTTAATAAACCTTTTATAATCAGTTTTAGCGGATCGAAATGTGCTTCTGATTGCTCCTCTGTTTTTGGATAATATTCATACAAGAGCTGCAGTAAAATTATACTTTTAGAAAGCTACGCTTTCAGTTGACAGAAATAAGCACCAATCACTCCATGCAAGTCCATCATGTTCCAAAGTTTTGCATGTGATAATTGTGCATATCAAAAGCCTTTAATCTTGACCTCTAGTACATATAAACAGGATATCTTATTCAATTCGATATAGTGCTCATTAAAAGACTTCAGTGTCAAATGTCAGTTATTTATTATAGAAAAGATGAAGAGAAGTGCAGCTTCACAGTAAGTGTAAAAGCAGGAGAGGGTAAAGAAGGGACAGCAGAGGACAGTGGGGCATTGACTCTTCAAGTGTAAACAGTAAGTTCTGTCTCTTATCTATGCATTCCCCTTGACCACACGGTTAATTACAGTGTTTATGTGCAGGTTTAGTAAAGTATGTGTGAATAATCTTGAAGACTATAATAGTTTGGTATTTGCAGAATTGGTCTGGACAGTGTCGTCTCAGTGCACTGTATGACCAGACAGAATGGTAAAGATCTGCACCGTCATTCAAAATACAGTATCTATACCGTTTATCTGTCATTTTATTGATGCTGATAAAATGATTTACTATCATACAGAGCATTGACCAACAGCGTTGTGAATTCTTATTAAGAAGTGTAAGAAGAAGGAAATTGAAGAGGAGAACTGCTCTGGGTAAACGTACTCTCAGTGGCATGTTGAGAAAGACCGCAGTCCTTGTTTGACAGGTTTTTTATGATAAGATAATCATGACGAGTTTGAGGTAAATCCAGAACAATCTGAATTTGATTCTGAAGATTAGTAGCGCGCTAGACTGATACACCTCTTATGTTTAGCTTCATTATTCCTATATCAGCTTGTTAGCTTGCTAATATGCTAAGTACAGCTGAGGATGATGGGATTGCCATTAGGTTTGCAGGTATTTGGACATAAAAAAAAGCCATTGATTAATTACTATTTTGACCATCATGATGGTGACTGATGGAAGAATAAAGGTGAATTTAAGTTTGACATTAATACCTGTTAATACATCTATTCTAATGGCAGTCTCTCTGGCAGCTTTTGAGATACTTCGGTCTGTGAGCCACCCTGTCAGTAAATTTCACTTTTGTTAATCTGCCCAGCTGGTCTTGAATGTCTAACACTGATAAATCCTCCCTCCTCAGATTGAAGCATTCACTTTCTGTTTAAAAGTTAAGATTGTATCTCACTTTGTTCCAGTGCACATAGAGGATTTGTTGCCAGTGACTTAACACACTCAACACCAGAATTTTATAAACTACAGCAATTTTAAACGCTTGTCTTTGCAACATGTAAATAAAGTTCCTGAACTGTTCAGTGAAGTGGAATCAGTGCCCCATGCTGTGGAGGGGAATGTGTCCTGGTATTGTGTGAGAGGGCGGGCCTGTCACTGGGGGAGAAACAGGCCAGCACAAAGGACCAAGGCTGCATGTCATTCCACGGAGTTTTCTCCCTTAAGTTCCTTTCTTTACATGTCTCATACATCAGGGAATGAAGAACTAACTGGGTCTCAGTTTCCACATGTTTCCATCCACCCAGTCCTGTTGGATCTCTAAGTAGGACAGAGTCAGAGAGCAGCTCAAGAAATTGGTCCAAAGCTGTTACTTGATCCCACCAAACTGTACTCTCTTTGTAAACCAGTAGATTTAACAGGCGTTTCATTCAAACAGCTCTTGGGGGGCGTGTTCAAGCATTGTGTGCTGGAATCCAGTCCCCTTTAACCTCTTAACCGCTTCAATTATTTCTCCAAACCTTCACACTGCTAATCCTCATTTTGTTTTACATTCTTGTCTCCCCTCTTCTCAACTTTCCACCGGTTCAAAGAAATGTGAGTTCAGAGCGAAGTGAGGCGAGGAGGAAGCTGAGGGAGTGTACAGGATTGGTTGATTCGCTCATGTACATTGTCCAATCCCAGATTGACTTTAAAGAAGTTGACAATAAGGTGAGTGGAACTCTTGATTTATTTGACATTAAAGGGGGGCCCCATCTATTTTACCCATCAGTCTACTGTCTATGTGAAAAATGTTGTACAAACGACTGTGTTTCAGAGAGAGCTGTGCAAAGTCTGATAAAGTGCCTCAAGTGAGGACATTTAAAACAGGAGTTTGTATGACTGCGAGTTGGTGATTTGATGTACTTACACTGAGAGACTTGGCAGAGTTTGCATTTCAATAATTCCCTCCTCTCTCTTTTTTCCCCCTCCATCTTTGCAGTTGATAGAGAACAGTGTGTGTCTGCTGAGGAACTTGTCCTATCAGGTGCATCGTGAGATCCCCGGCTGTGAGCGCTACCAGGAGGCCGCGCCCCTCAACCAGGGCCCCGCCCCCTCCAGTCAGAAGGGCGGCTGCTTCAGCTCCCGCAAGAGCAAAGGTCTGTTTCAGAGAGAGAGAGAGAGAGAGGGAGAGAGAGAGGAACATTTGCGGTGATGTCACTGTTGACAGTGGTGTCTCACTAAACTGATACACACACACACACACACACACACACACAGAGGAATCTTAGCAATTTCCCCAACTGCAAGAAAGCTCATCCTCTCTACTGCTGCTCACTGTTTGTGTTTCACTGACTTGTCTTTTCTCAACTACACACCTCATTTTCTTCTGTTTAGCTGCCTTTACCAGGTTGTTATAATTATTTAGCATCTTTCAGCATTCAGATTCTATATATTCTTTCTGGTTGTTTTGGTTGTTTTGTGTTTTCTTTTTACTTAGATATAATATAGAAACAATCGAATCAATTTATAAAAGCTTGTGTATCCATGCTAACAGTATACATGTAAAAAAGATAATAATGAAGAATTAAGATAATGAGGCTGCAACATTACTGATCATCTGCCAATTATCTTTTAAACAGTCGTTTCATTTATGAAATGCCCAAATCACAGCAACACATTCTCATACTGACACCGTACAGAGCAGTCTGTGTGTATACAATGGTTCCATGAGCTGCTGTGTGCTATTTATTTGCTTTATTTGGCCTTTACACTTGGCATGCCACATTGCTGATGTCTGTGTGGTGGCAGCAGTGCTGTTGGGAAGCAGGTGTTACACTAGGTGGCTCAGTTATGGCTGCTTTCCTCTTACTCACTGTAAATGCTCTCTCTTCCTCCTGTTCTGTCTTTCCCTCCTCCATTCTTCTCTCCCCCTTTTTCACGCTGGGCTACAGATGAGTGGTTTTCCAAAGGTAAGCTCTTTACCTCTGTATGACTGCACTTTGCTTCTGCTGTTGTTGTAGTAATAGAGTAGCTGAGCTAACAGGTCAGTGTAACTGTCTTAGTACTAACATGCACGCCTCATGCATCTCAGTTTTTGGTCATAGCACACATCTAACCGAACTAGAAGAACTTTACTAACAGTAGTGCTCAGCTTCTGTGTGTTTCTGAAGCTGTGATGTTTGATTCCAGGTAGAAAAGATGAAGATGCAGCTGCAGACATAATAGACATTCCAAAGAGGACCGCACCTGCTAAAGGTAACCATGGGCTCAGTCGACTCCTTTTAAATATATGTATCATGCGGTACAGAAAAACTAAATGTACTGTATTTTGTTCATAACATTTGTATTTCCTGTAGGCTATGAGCTGCTGTTCCAGCCGGAGGTGGTCCGCATCTACACCTCTCTGCTGAAGGAGTCCAAGAACCCCACCGTGCTGGAAGCCTCGGCTGGAGCCGTTCAGAACCTGTGTGCCGGACGCTGGACTGTAAGAGCCGCTATCCAATTACTATCCTTGTTCCACCTCACAGACACTCCCTGTGATGAGTGGACACATTGTGCAACATTGGAATCTGCGCAAACATGAACATACACCTATGCAAAGCTCCTACAGCAGGCCAAACAGAGCTTGTAAGATGATAGTCATTTATATCTGAGGGCATTTTGGGAATGAAGGCATTAGTACATGCATCCCTTTCCAAAGTGCTTACTTGCCTTTTCTTGGGTCTTGCCCATGACCTTACTTACATGACCATGTCCAGTCTTGAATGACAATTTCTAAGTACTGTGGCTAAGAGGTTAAGACTGCCACAAGATTAATGAATGTAATAATCGGGGGAAATGGGAGTTTGAATACCACTTGGCACATCCCTTTAATAAATGTCCGTGGGAAATGCCATACTTGCCTACCCCCAATATAAATACAGTGTCATAATTTAGACAACTCTTGACAGGATTATTTACAACTAAATGCTGTAAAGGTACTGTACAGCTGAATTCATGCAAGCTTAACTTAAACCGGTGCTCTGTGCATTGTTTTATGAATATATGAGAGTAGATTCAGATGATGCAAATAATTGATTCCTCTTGCAAAGGGAAACCACTTGGAAAATGACAAAGGTTTGTTTGTACACAACAGTGATAGTGTGTCAGAAAACACTTGAGTCTATGAAAGGTAGAGTAGCTAGTGCCCTCATTTTTTAAAAACAAAACTAAATTGTGTGTCTGCTTTAGTATGGCCGATACATCCGTGCCTTGCTGCGCCAGGAGAAGGGTCTGCCCATGATGACTGAGCTGCTGGCCCACGGCAACGACCGCGTGGTCCGCGCCATGTCTGGAGCCCTCCGCAACATGGCCATTGACGCACGCAACAGAGATCTACTAGGTGAGACTTTGAGCTAGTCCTACTGTCACACAAGGATTTATTGTATGAAGAGGATGGCGTGTTTTAACGTTTAACGCTCTCCTTATACTTGTGTGTTATCAGGTAAACATGCGGTGCCTCACCTGGTGGCAAACCTGCCTGGCGGCGGTCAGAGTCAGCCGGTGCGAGCGCTGTCAGAAGAGACAGTGGTGTCGGTTTTGAGCACGCTCCATGAGGTGCTGGGCTCCAGCCTGGAAGCAGCCAAGACCCTCAGGGCCTCACAGGGAATCGAGAGACTGGTGCTCATTAACAAGGACGGGTAAGGGCTGATATCCGAGATCATTTTCTCTCCATGTCTGCACGTTTGTCACAAGTCTTATCTTCTTTTTAATTACTTCTCTCTGCCTCCCCTGTCCACCGGGATCACCAGTAATCGTTCTGAGCGAGAGGTGCGTGGGGCCGGCCTGGTGCTGCAGACAGTGTGGGGCTACAAGGAGCTGCGGCGCACTTTGGAGAAGGACGGCTGGAAGAAGACGGACTTCATGGTCAACCTGAACCCTCCCAGCAACAACACCAGGGCCAACGGAGGATATGAGGACAGCACTCTGCCGCTCATAGACAAAGGTCGGGAGGCAAAAGGGAAACGCGTGCATGTAAAGTTTGCTGCTCTGCGAGGCCAAATATCTCAGAGTTGAATTTGTTAATGTTCAGTGTCTCATGTCTTAAAGGGTCCAGTTTGAAACTAAAAAAATAAATGAAACTACCGCTAAAAGTTCACCCATTACGGGCCAGATGTCTATCTCTTTGTGTTACTGTTTACTTTGCTAATGCATGGCACATATTTCACATTATCATTTTACTTTACATACAGGTCCACTCTGATTGCTTTCATTATAATATAGAGTGTGCCATTGCAACAGCTTGTTGTAAGGCATTGAAATGCTCCATTTCTAGTGGATTTGCCTTTCGCAAGTCAAGCACTTTATCTAAAAGGATAGTTTGTATTTTTCTAAGTGGGGTTATATGAGTTACTTATCTACAGTCGGTGTATTACCTTAAGTAGTTAGGTAATATGCTTCTACTGTAGGTAATACACTGACGAAGGATAAGTACCTCACATAACCCCACTTCAATCCAAACTATCTCTTTAAGCTCCACAGAGCTCTGCTTTAAACTCTACAAATGTGACCGTGGCAGTGCTTCAAAGAATCCCCACTCCTGTTCTATGTGCTGTAGCTCTATACAGGCGGTTTGCAGAATGAAATGGGAGTTGCAATTAATTCATGAACGTTCGTTTCAACCTGCTTGGCGTACAATATGTATAAGGGTTTACCACAGTGGGGCATTTTAGATAATCCCAGTTGTAAAATATCTTTTAAGATCTTTGGCACTGTTGTTTTTTTAATTTAAGTTTCTAAACCTGACCCATTACACACAAAAGTAACAAACTATATATTTGCAAATACTAGCTGGCTCATGCTCGCACACCTACACACTATGCTATCTTTGGCAGTAGATGGTCGGGCTGTTATCACTGTGAACAAAAACATTCATCATTACACACTGATGCTCATTGTCTTTGTGTCTTCAACACACAGGCGGCAAAGGGGACCGGGACATGATTCCTATGAATGACATGGGACCAGGCAAGTGTGACAACAGACAATATGCACAGGGACACAACTGGCCAGTATCGCACTAGATGGAACTTGTCAAGGAGTAGTGTTTATTGAGATTTGTGGGATCGTTGCCCCACACACACTCACACACACACACACACACACACCCTACCTACCTTGCTGGTTTAACGTAATGTGTGTGCTCTTCAGATGCCTACTCCACACTGGACCAGAGAGGGAGAAGGAACACTCTGGATAACACACTCGAACCTGCTGACAGAGATGCAGTACAGGTAAAAAGTGGCCACATGAACTCGCACACTCTTCCCACACACACACGCACAACCCCGCATGACTGCACTTTAATGAGAATAACTCTCTCAATCCTAACATAAACTCTTCTACATATGTCACTTATCTACAGTTTCTAGAAAACTAAAATGTGTGAGACTAGTAGAACAAACAAGCTCAGTTGTTTGTGACACACTGGCTGTAGAGCAATCCTTCACAGGATGTCATGGTCTGTTATCTTATCATCTGCATCGTCTCTGTAAGAATAATTCCAGTTCATTCAGGAGACGTCACTGTGAAACTGTTGAAATTGATTGCACATGATCACCTAGCTGAAAGATCAAAAATGGTTGGAAATATGCAACTGGTTAATCATGTGCAACACACACACAGCTTTTGAGGTGCTCTAAATGTTACTGTGTGAACGGACATGCTCTCACACACACAGCCGCAGACAGCATGTTGATGCATGTCTTGTTAAAGCACTGTGGTTGATCAGGGAATTCTTTTCTTCCACCTGAAACATAACGTAACATGAAACTAACCTTTTGTGACCCTCCTTTACTTTCTCACCTTATCTTCTCTTTTCTCTCTTGCTGTTCTTTTTCTCCTTCGTCTTTCTGTTTCCTGTTTTGTCCTTTTGGATTTTAACACGTAACCCTTTTATTTCTGTATTTGCCTCCTCGCTGTGCTCTCTCTCTCGCTCGCTCTCTCTCTCTCTCTCTCTCTCTCTCTCGCGCTTGCTCTCGCTCTCAGGGAGGGATGTATGGGGAGAGGCAGGCCTCTTTGCCTCTAATGGATTCTTACGATGGTTAGGCTACACCCACTATCACACTGCATGTCAGCGCATGGTATGTGTGTCCCACAGGCTGCTCCTCTAAACTCACTGCATGGCCAAATATCTTAGTTGTGTATTAAGAGTTGTGACTTTGTGTGTTTGACAGTGACCGGTATTGTTGAGCTTCCATTGTACTGTATGTGGACTGTTTGCTTTTGTTGCTTTCCCTGCTGGTGTAAAAAGTGAAGAAGTGTAAAGTGATTTGTTCTCCTGAGATGTGATTTTAATTTATTTTTCTCTTTGCACAGTTTATTTAATTTTGGACTTTGTTGCCAGCAGCCAATATTCTCTATTGTATTTTATACTTTATTTGTATTAAGCCGCTGCTGTGAATCTGAATTTTAAATGTGCGATTCTTCCCGCATAGGCATGAACGACTCACTTTAGCTGCTCCACATGATCAATTCCCACACTTGTCTCTTGCAGAAAAACTGATTGTGTGCATCACAAGACGACAACCTCCTCCCACCTACTGCCCTTGCTGAACTGACTATGGGGGACCACGACACTACCGATGGAATTAAACTCCATCCTCTCAAATCTTCTGTCCCCCTTTCACTCTATTGCAGCCCCTCTTCTCTCTCTTTCCCGTTGTTACATTCCTCCATTGCAGCTGACAAACTAATGAAACCACTCAGAAATAATTGACGTGGCTCTACGCTCCCTGTGGACAACTGGATGAGACACTATGACCACTTTGTGCTCTGCAAGTCCCTGAAATCCAAAACACGCTAACCACTCAGTCAGATACCATGGCCACTACACTACAGCGTGCTTGGACAACACTAATTCTCTCTTTGATGAAAAGCAGAGACTGTGGCTTCATCTGAGAACTTTTCTATTTCTTAGAGGTGGGAGAGTAGACGTAGACTAATCAAACTAATTGGAAAGTCGGGATCAGAACAGGACACTTAAATAAATGCCTATTACATTCTGTTTGAATTAATCAAGGAAACGTTTCTCTCTCTCGCCCTCTCTCGCTCGGTTAAATACTACAAAAGAATGTTTTCCTACCACTGAGAACCGATGTTTAATGATCTAATCAGATATGTGTAAAGCTTCTGCTTTGGTAGTGGTTGTTCCTCTTCTTGCTTTGCTCTGTACCACAGTAATGTACATGTGCCAAATGACACTGCTGCGACTGCCAATACCGAATGCAAGAACTTCACACACAACTTTTACAGCAGCTACACTGAAAACTGTCATCTGCTTTATGTGTGCAGCTTGTGTCGGTGACAGCCCATCAACAAGATGCATGGGGATGCTGCATTTTCTCTATTTGATTGTGATCCATAAATATAAAAGGGTGGTGGTATTCCTACAGACAGAAATAGAGACGACAAACTATTCTTCAGACGGTATAGTCTGTTTCTGTTAAATGTAAGCCCCATAACATTGTAATTCTTAGGAGGTATCACAGGATTTGTAGGGTGAATTTACTTGTATCTGCAGGTCTGTCATCTTATGAATGTGTACATACCAGACTGTCTCTAACAGCATCTGTGTGGGCTAACTGGAGTGCCTCGCTCATTCAGGATAGGTCTGATGGGTGTGCCCAACATGTCGTGGGTAAACAATCACGGTGTCTTTTTCTCAGCAGGTTACTAGTTGGGAATACTGTATATGGAACTCATCAGTTTTCTATTCTGCAAAATAATATAATATGTGAACTTGTACTTATGTAAAACTGGATTCTTGTCAATGGAATTGGTTGTTTTTTTTAATAACGTATAAAACTCTTGAGTTCTGTATAACTTACTGCTTGTCAAACCCATAGCCGAGCTGGCTTTAAGACTACAGAACAGTACACGGGAGGAGACACAGCATTGTCCGCATTTCTTAAGTACAGTACAGTGCTTGTTCTGTAGAAGAATACTTATTCTTAGTGCCGAGTGAGCTGTAGATACTTACTGAGTGGATGATTCAAAGAAGCACTAGGGGGGTTTAATGTGTGGTTTTTTTCTTTCTGTTACCTTTTTAATTTGTTTTCCATGCCGATTGAAACACCGACAGAGGATGAATCTTTCTCAAAGTAACAAGTTGCCTTCGAGAATGGACTGACTAAAAGAGGAGAGCAAGGAGTTGTGTTTGAGCATCGCAGTGTACGGAGGCTTACACCAGAATTTGCTATTGGAAAAAGTGGAGAAAAAAATAAAAGCACATTTAAACTATATATATACACAAGAGTATATTTGTTAATTTTAATGGTTTTATGTATTTCTTTTTTTATATTGATTTGGGTTCAATCGTTTCTGGGTGCTCTTGGTGAATGCATATGCGATCAGTTTGTTTTGATTGGAAACATTCAGTCTGTATCTAAATTAAATGCTAAACAAGTTAGCTGAACAAAATCATTCAACATAATCATCAGATACTGGATCACTAATGAAAACAAATCTCATCCTGGACTACACTTTAATCCCTTTGCCTTGGCTCTTAAAGTTGCATATTCTCATTTATGAATGAATCATGTAACTAGCAATACAGTTTTTAATAAAAAAGAAAATGATTTTTCAGAGTTTTTGTTTCGCCTCTTGTTTATCACACTATTTAATAATGAATCAGTGAAGAGCGGTTCCTTATGGAAATGTTCCTCGGCCTGTGCTTTAACAAAGGAGAACAGTGGCTTGACATGTGGAGGTGGTTTCCCTTCGTTGTCATGTGACAGAGCGGCCACTAGGTGGCGCTTTGAGTTTGCGGCCCACTTTTGCAACTGCGACAATTAGGAACTAGGAGGGAGGTGACAAACATGTGATGCCTTCTGCGACATCGGGGTTCAACGCGTTAACATACCGTTTAATGGGACAAAAAAGGCCTTGCAAGTGCAACAGATGTATAATGCTACTGGTAAGTGTAATTTAAAGCTAATGCTGCCTGTTACGGCACTTTAGCTGCGGAGTGCGAGCTTTACTGAAGTGTTGGCCAACAGTGTCATCTTGCTAAGGTGGAGTTGCACCGCGTTAACTTCAAACATTCATTATTTTGGTCTAACGTTACATTATTCATTTACTGTTTTTCCGCATTTATCTGCTAATGCTAGCTAACCTTCAGCCACAGAGACCAGAAGGTTACTTATTGCAGCTCGTAACGCCAGAAATATTTTTGTCAAATTGTAAATAAGCCCGCTGTGGTTGAACAGAAAATGGAATAAATGAAAGTGAGAAAGTACAAAGTTACCCTCAAAAGTAAAAATGTCACTTTTAACGTGAAGTTCACTAACATTGGCAGTGCGCGAACAGTTCTCCATGTGCAGCTGCCATAGGGCTGCAATCACAACACTGGCTTTTGTCTTGCTTTTAGGGAAAAGGTTGCTTTAATAATCTGGTGAAGAATTAGTTTAACATTATCCTATTTCATTCACAGTGACATTACTTTAAGGGTCTTTACAAATTGAAAATGAAATAAACAGGATAAATGACATTTAAAAACTACAATGAAGTGATCCGTAGATTAAATGTAAATAGTAAAACCAAAGCAAGAACAAAAGTTCAATTATAGGCAACAGTAAACAGGAAGATTTTATAAAAATCGGGGCCACCACTGGTCCCAACAGTAGTAGGTGTACATTGAGTTGAACCATATTTCTTTATCTGACACCCCCACCTCTTATGTCCTTCCTTGCTCCCAGTACCCATCAGGCCATGCAGCGGTACAGGTGGCCAGGTTATAAGAAGCAGCTTCTTGGAGAGCTGCAGAGACAACAAAACAATGCCCAATTCTGTGATGTCCTGTTGAAAACGGAGGGTGAGCTGTGTAGCATATCTAAAGTTAAAAAATGATATTGTAATAAAATATTAACCTCTTTTTCTTACCGTGTGTAAAGGTATCTCAGTCCCAACCCACAGTTGCATACTTGCAGCTCTCAGTCCCTTCCTGTGTCAGAAGCTCTCGGCCTCCCCGTCTCCTCCGTCGGGCCAGAAGCGCGAGCTCCGGCTCCAGGCTGTGAATGCCCAGACCCTGCTGAAGATCGTTGGTCTTCTGTACTCTGGGGAGGTGGAGGTAACAGGAAGTGCAGAGCAGAATGACTTGCTGTCTGCAGCCCGCCAGTTCGGGATCACAGACCTGGTTGAAGGACAGAAAAATGGAGAGGTGGGGGAGGGAGAACCCCAGAAAAGTTGTTTTGGGAGTTGCAGAGAGAGGAATGAAAGCGGAAAAATGCAGGATGCACAAGTTCAGGCTGAGGGTGCTGGATGGAGAAACACAGTTTCCCCAATTGAAAAGAGAAGTTGTGTATCCACAGGGAGACGGAATGTTAAAGCTGATCAAAAGACAACGGGCTGTTCTAATACACACTCCGTCCAAACTGAACATCCAACCCCAGGGCCCGAACCCTCTGTAGCTAAACATTTGGATTGTTCTATCTCATTGCAATCCCAAAGCGTCACACTCGATAAACATTTTAGCTTCGCTCCTTGCCCACATATTTCCTGTGTGCACAGTGGAGCACAAAGCGATGGCGAGTCTACATCAGACCGATCCTCTGGCAGTGTAACAAACCCCACGCCAACTTCATCTTTGTCCAGCAATGTGATGACCTTTTCCATTTCTCTTAATGATGACGCAAACTCCACAACACCTCAGGAAGACGGCGCCTACCAGCAGTCATCTGAGATCGGGGATAGCATACAGGTGTTGGCTAAGGAAGGGGCAGGACTGAAGGGTAGAACAACTAACGGCAAAACAGCTGTCAACAGGGAAAATGCAGAGCAGCCATGCCACAGAGATGAGATGCGAGGAGAAGAAAAGGGAAACTCTACAGAGATACGGCATGCACGTGCAAATGTAGGGATAAAGAGCTTGGCCAAGATGAGACAGATGCAGCAGATGATGGAGACGGAGACCACACAGATTTCCATCAAGGTATGAAGGACTAGTTAATTATTCCATGTAGAGGTGTAAAAATGCTCCAAAAATAAGACTTTCTTTTTGTCTCTCTCTAACTTTGGGACACTTTCCAGACAGTTTGTGTTTGTGAACTGAGGCTGCTGTGAGCATTTTAGGAAGTTGTGTCATGCAGTTTGTGATCTTAACATTCTGGGAATCACAGTCAGTTTAGCTAATGTGTGGCGTTGTCTAGTGTTTCTTGAACATGATGTAATTGAAAGATCAGAGATCAACTTGTTGAGTTGCAACTACCGACTGTAGTGAACATTTAATCAAATGAAATTCATCCGGGTGTCGGAGTCGCTCAACTGCTGTTGCCTTTAAGTTTGAGCCATGTCTTCATTTCCCCTGGAGCGCAGGCATGACTTTAAAAATGACTTGTTATTTCTACATTTCATAAACAAAGAGAAGAAAGGACATTTGAGGATTTAGTTTCATGACAGAATTGTTTCTTCTCAGCAATGATGCCTCCAGAATGTCATAACAAACCTGTAAGAAGCCCACTTGTTTTCATTGCTCTATTTTCTTCCCTCTGTGCAGGTGAAGCTGAGGAGGAGGACCAATGCAGAAGTGTGGGAGGTTGTGAGCAAGCAACACACAGATGAGGCGTTGTCAGTTCTTACCTCCCTGAAACAGGTATGCAAGTGTGGTGGTGGTTTATACACAGACGCACGTTTCATCCAGTTTACTTGGATATGATTGCACATTTATATTAGAATCACTTCATCTGTCTTGGTGATGCAGGGCAGTGCAGAGATGGAACAAAAATATTGTTTCACAGAAAATTACCATTGTAAACACAGCTGGGTCATTTTAGCCAATCAGCAGAGCTGTATTTGTCATCATTTTGGCTGAGACTGATGCACCTGCAGTTGTGAGTACAATTGATGTGGTCACTTAGGACCTCTTGGTCTCATGTTGGTTTTAAAAGGTGCACATTAAAGAGCAGAGTGTCGGGCATCTCTTATTCATTAAATGCACACCAAACAAAATCACTTTAGCTTTCAAACAAATTCACTCTTTACATTTATCTGTCTGTCTCGCATGGAAAGGAAAGGAAAAGTTGAGTTGAGTTGTTCATACTCGGGCGCTGTGCTGTGGGAGAAATGAAAGACAGTGTGATGCAAAAAACGTCAGGTAAAGTCCCAACTTAGTATCTGTAGACCGCCTGAGCGGCTTCCTGAGGCTTTATGAACAGCAGGTCTGTTTCATCATCTGACTCCACCTGAGATTAGATTTTTAGAAAGTCAGTGTGTGTTTAATAGTTATTTGATTCTTATCACACTAAAGTTGATAAAAGATATGTGACCTCTTTATCTTTTTACAGGATGGCTCCAGCCACAAAAGGCTGCAGACAGACCTCAGTGAGCCTCCTCCCTCCTGTGTCCAGCCAGGCCCAGCTCATAAACCAGAGCCCCCGACTATTCAACCCGCTACCACCAACTCCCCCGAGCGACCGCCTCGCCCCAACACCCCCCCTGACTCCCAGCTTCTCTCCAGCGACTGCCTCGATGGCGGCCTTGAGTCAGTGTCGCTGCCCCAGCCTCCAGGCCCTGCGGAGGAGTGCGATGAGCAGATGGAGAAGCTGTTGGAGGACATCATGATGGGTCTGAACATCCTGCCGAACTTGGACGGAGACTGCAAAAAGTCTCATTGCCTTCAACCAAACCATGACGGAGCTCCGGCCATTTGCCAGGTCCCAGTGACGGAGGAAGAGCGACCGCAGAGTCGGATGCATGCTGCCTTCAGTACGGTGGGACTACCAGGATATTACCAGGAGTTTGGGACACAAATTGGTCACGCATCAACAGGTTCAGGTATTGAGATGCATTTCTCTTATGATTTCTACTTTAAACACGATGTGTAGACACGATTGTTGATAGATTGTTGGCTAATGTGTTGCAGAGCAGTGGCAGTGGGTTAATGAAACAAGTAGCCATTTGAATCCAAAGAGGGATGGATTTGTTAATTAGGATAATGAAAAAGAAATATCTGACATGTTGTGTCTTCTTCTTTATATTTACTAATATAACTTTGTAAATGTAGTGGGTGTTCACTACAATCACAGAAGTTGACAATTCCAGGCTCTCAATAGCTTCATCCTTTATCTATTTAGTCCTTTTATCTGTTTTATTTAGCTGTCCTCTTGTTTATGATCCAGCACTTAACAACATTTAGAAGAATGCCCGTTAAATTTCCAAAAAGGGGATGGTTTGATTTTCTTGAAGTGGGGTTGTACGAGCTACTTCTCCACCTACCTACAGAAGAGAAACCCAGAAACAGTTCAGTGCTGTTACCCCTGTCTGTTTCTCTAAACTGGTGGCGTGCCGACACCGACTACTGTCGGTAACGCACTGAATATAAATAAGTACTTATCCCTTTAAGTCCGAGGCGATAACGTAAAATTGCTTATTTTGTCTGAACAAAAGTCCAATACTCAAATTTAGTAATTTTGCTATCGTATAAAATAGAGAAAAGCCCAAAATCCTCACCATTTAAAAGCTGGAACAAAAATGTTACTTGAATGATTAATTGATTCTTCAATTTATCGTTTCAACTCTAAATTTATTTTTGTATATTTGGTAATGAGCAGTATGGTTAAAATGAATCTGAATCTTGTATTGTCCAGTGTGCTAAAGTTAAGCAGTTACTAAAGAAATCAAAGAACACAAGATCAGGTCAAGTCTACCGGAGCTGTTTCCCCCCAGTCCTCCGCTTCACACCGTACCACAATCTAAATGCCCACACTGCTACTGCTCCTCTTTTCAATTGATCCAAAAGCAACACCCTAACAGCAACCACCTCAGCTTTTTAAATTCAGGATGATTGATGGCGGCCTTCTCACCTATTGTACAGGTATCTATTGTTGTTTTACAGCTCAGAACCAGCCCAGCTGCTCAAGCCTTTCATCCGTACAGCCGGCTGCTGTGCTGATCCAGCAGCAGCAGCAGCACTCTCCCCGGTATCACTCATCTGTCACATCCATGGGGCAAAGAGATGGAACGAGCCACCAGGGCATGTCGCTGTCCAAAACACTAAATTGTCCATATCCTGAAGCACTCAGTGGGCAGAGACTACTTACTACCTTTACTTATTTCCCAGCATTCCAGGAACCGCCTTCACAAGACAACATACTAGAGATTTTCCCCCTGATGAATGGAAATGAAGCACAGTCCTTGCATTCCTTACCTTGCATGGATGATTTGCGGCTTCCTCAATGTCTCTCTCCGTTAGAGCCGTCCACCTCAGCAGCAAAACGTCCGTCTACCCTCAACAGCTCAACGAACCAAAGCGGTAATATTCAGCCACAGTCATCTGAACACGGGCGACCCTGGCTTTCAGTAAACATGGGATCACTACAATTTCCTCTCAGTGCCATCACGCACGGAGCAAATAGAAGCGAGTCTTTACCCCTGGATTCAAACCAGCAATGGCAAAAATATCTGGAGTTGCATCCACAGAGTGGTGAATGCCGGGCAGCAACTTGTTCTGGTCAAGAGGTGGAAGAGAGAGGAGCAATATCTGATGGTCATCAAAACGTGGCAAAACTGAAGTCTGATCTCAGGAGGATAAAGAAAGATGTTAAATGTAAACAAGGTGACACTAAAGGTGATGCTACAGTGCCTAAAAGGAGGAGGAAGAAGCATCCAGGCTCTCCACAAGAGGCCAGTTCTCCTTTGGAATACAAGCATATGAAAGTCAGCGATGAAACAAAAGGTCAGATCAACCTGAGTGTTTGTTTAGTCAGTTTGTCGAGCAACAACGTGCTGGCGAAGGAAAGAGAAATGGCCGCCGGTTTAAACATGCCAGACACATTTGTAGGGAAAACAAATGAACTGTCAAACATCACGGAAAGTCTGAGAGAGAAGATCAGAGGGCCCGAGGATCTCAATACTAACCAGATGCGGATCAGGACCAGGGGCTTTTTGAAAAGAACTCTAGAGACCACAAGTAGCTCAAGCATCGAAAGTACAGTTTTACAACCCGTGGTCCGCAGTGCTCCAATTGTGAATAAAGGAGTTCCCAAGCGGGGACGCGGAAGGCCACGAAAAATAAGGGTTGAAGAGATGCCTTTAGAGAGCGCTCTCTCTCTTACCGTCGCTGACAAAAAGAGCCACGATGTGAAAAGAGAGCCGCAAAATGACAGTTTGTTGAAGGAGGTGAACGAAAAAACAAGGAAACGTAAAAAACGGATCAGGAATAGAAGTAAAGTGGAGGCCGTTCCACTGATGGCCTTAACTGCTGAGGCAGACCACAGCAGTGATGTAACCGGAAGAAGACTTGGGGCAACCAAACGGATGGTCAGTCTGAAGGAGTTTCAAAAGCTTATCAAACGCCAACACTCCAAAACAAGGAAGTCAAAAGAAAGCCAGGACAAGGAAACAAGTGAAACCGCAGGAGTTGTAGAACGTGAGGAAGGGAAGACGTGCGGTAGCAGATTGGAAGAATTAACTAACGGGACAGAAATGGATACTGCTCAGCCTCAGAACAGGGGCGGAGTTAAAGAGCGCCACGCTGTCTTGGACGTCACAGTTGATGAAAATCACAATCAAATTGTCAACAAATCGTCAGCCGAGTGTGACGAATCACAGCGAGATGAGACAAACGTCTCGACTGGTAATGAGACCCGTTTGTTGGGCGATGAGTCCCTTCCCGTGGTTTCCTTCGACGTCTTGGGAGAAGAGGCCAGGTTAGCAGCTGAGACGGAGCAGCCGCTGAAGAGTCCCGATAAAGGTAAAGTGTTTCTTCCACGGGTCAAACCCTTTTACTGCGTACAGTGAGTAGAAAACAAGAAATTCAAACTATTGAACCATTGCATTTAAGTAAGAAAATGTATTTGAATGAGCAACACTGCAGTTGCATACGATTATATACTCAACCTACTTTGGTGCTAACTTGTAATATAAAGCATGACACTGACTTGTAGCAATGACCACAACATGCTTGAATTGTTGATTGCATAATGTTGGGCTCAGTTTTGAAAAAGAGACATTCAAAAACTCAAAGTTTAGATTTTTTACAGGCGTAGTTCATCCAAATCATACAAAAAAATATTTACCAATTTAACTTTTAGATGTATCAAGTCTTGTGGCAGTGATGGAAGGAGTACTCTGATCCTTTACTTTGTGTAAAAGTATCATTTCGACTGTCAAAATAATCCATGACAAGAAAGTCCTGCATTCATAGTACAAGAACAAAAGTATTATCAGCTAAATGTACTTTAAAAGTATCAGCAGTAATAGTAGTGGTTGGGCTGATATATTACTGGAGATGGAAACTCGATTCTAAATGAGTAAAAACCGGGAGTATTGATACGGTCCGGAGTTAACAGTTTTGCTATCGGTACTTCAGAATTTAGGAGGGAGATCTCCGTGGGAAAAAAGCAGCATCTCAAACCTCCTCACTGTCTCTATGCCTTTCTTTGCAGAGTCGTGCTTTTACTCTATATATAGATATAGATATTAAAGACAATGACCCAATTACTCTGGATAATCCATCTTAGTTCCTTCTTTTTTTAGCACAAACAGCCCGTGATGAAGGAGTGTCAGATAAAACAAAGCCGACTGCTATCCACGATGGAGGATCGTCTCACAGTGACGTGCACCTGCCTCAAGAAGACGAAATGCCTTCAGTGCACAACTTGGACCTCCAGACCCCTGAGAGAAACAGTCCACCTGTGTCGGACGCTGGTGGGTTCGGCAGGAGCACCGGCTGCGATCAGGAAGAGGAGGAAGTGGAGGTAGACGTTTTGCTTTGGTCTCCAGACAAAGCGCCTCAGACCAAAGATTGTGAGAATGGACTCGACAACATGGCAGTAATTCCAGAGGAAGAGGAGGAGGAGGAGGAGGAGGAAGAAGAAGAGGAAGAAGATGTGAATGAGATTGATGTAACTGGAGATGAGGCAGAGTAACTTTTGTATTTTGGCATAGGTTTTACTATGTTGTGTGACTAATTCAGCACTTTGGTGAACCACATGTTATGTTCTCTCTGTTGTGGTTTTATGTATGTTCACAAAGATGCCAGACAAAGTCTATTTTGCTGTGAAGCTATGTACAGTATATTGTTATGTCCTCCTGTTCTGTTTTCACCAGCTGTGTGCATGCAAGAGTGACAGGCTGCGTGCTGGTTTTATCTTCATTTAGTTCCATATCCAAGGTTCAAATGGATGTTAAATTTCCATTAATAGTATGCTAAATAATTAATTACAAAAAGGGAAAAAGTTCTTACTGTTCACATTTGTCAATCATTTTATTAGTTTTACATTTTCAGTGAATTTTGAATTGTCATACTAATTAAGGTAAAAGCACTCGAGGGGCATTGTGTCTCTCTGAAAGTGACTATTGTTGAAAATAAACCTTATTTTGAGCTTTTATTTGTAAAGCACAGCTTGTTTTGTGTAAATTACATAATTATGGGTTATTAAAAAAAAAAACTGAAATCTGTCACTTCTTTTTGCCAACAGACCATTACATTTACTTTTGTCTTTGGCGATCAATGGCACGAGAGGGCGCACTGTCTCTGCCTCCAGTTTGAATCCAACTTTATTGACAGCGGAAACGGTACACACGTGTTTTGAGTCTTGCAGGTTTGAAGGTTGAAGAAGTACCGGGTAGGTCTCTTGTCCATCGCTCGCTGGAGAGGGTCACCAGGACGGCGTGTTCGTGGGTAAAGCTGGGTGTGAGCAGCACTGCAGCGCAGACATGGATCCCATGAAGGCACAGCAGCTGGCGGCGGAGCTGGAGGTCGAGATGATGGCTGACATGTACAACCGGTAAAGACAAAACAAGCTAACCATTAAAGCCAGCTATCTCTAATTTATGCAACCTTTCTGTAAGTAGTAAAGGAGTCTCGTGGCCTTCGTTTAAATCGTCTCTAATAAACTGGATATGCTGTAACAAAGGGGCATTCAACGGTAAAAGGTTAGCTACGCTTATTAGAGATGTCCCTCCGTGATGCTAGCACCGCAAAGCATGTTACACCGGATTAACGTAGCGTAAACCTGCGATGTTAAACATGAGTTTAAATAGATTTAAGTTGCAGCTAAAGTTAGCATTTGCTTTAAAATTTGCCTTTCCGGTACGAAAGCCCATTGCAAATGGATGTATTGCCCTAGCGTGTACTGATGGCCTTTAAATACCCTTTAATGTTATTATAGTGATGCACAATACTATTAACACTTAATTTCAGAATGGAATGGGAAACCGTTTAATACACACTCGGGTGTTTTAAAAAAAAAAAAAGAAAAGGAAATGCAATAAAATGTTTCTCTGTCCTCACTTCCTTGCTTCTTGATAACGAGACTGTCTTAACGTAAAGGAGAGCAATACTGGTCATTGTTGGCTCACTAACAGACCCCCGGGACTGTCTGACGTAAATGTAGTTTAACCATCACTAGTGGGACTACTGGTTCAGAGCAGCTGTACAGGTGTCATTTAAGCTGCTACAGTATCGGGGTCCTGGTATTGTGCATGCTGGTTCACCGTCACACTGGGACAATTAAATAGAACAGAGGTACTAACCTAACACTAAGACAAGCTAATATGTCTGCTGTGGAAAAAGTCAAACAGTCTTTGTTCTGGGCTTTCTTTCCTAGTCTCAGGCACATATATAGTGTTGCTGCCTCTCACTCGTCGTTTCTGATTATTAATGAGTATTGTCCCTGTCAAATAAACAAACACAATAAAGTCAATTCAAGTCCAAATCTAAAGCCCCGCTTTGAATTGGGTAACTCTCTCTGGGGTGTTCCACTCAACTGGTTAATAAATGGGTTAATAAATGGGTTAAAAACAATCAATTTATAACAATTTTCCTATTTGTTTTTTTTCAAACAAAAAATGATGCGGTCTAGAGCGGCAATGATTTATCAATTAGTTGATCGACAGAAATTGAATCAGCAACTTTGTCACATTCAGTCTAATGGCCGAGTTTCTATCAAGTATATACTCCGAACATTAAATGGATTCAGCTTCTCAGACGTGAGGATCTGTAGCTTGTTCTACAGTTAGCACACTGCACATGTGTTTCTGTGTGACTTTTGGTTCAATAAAACAAGACATTTGATGACATCACCTTGGACTTTAGGACACTGGACATTTTTTTTTGTTTAATTTTGTATTTTTTAAGACACTTTTTTTTGTATCGCTTAAATAGTAAATTAGTTGATTATGAAAGTAATCTTTGCAGTTCTAATGTCGTAATAATAAGTTGCTGTAATCACATTCAAACTCTACACATAGTTGCTTCAAGCTATTTACATGTTCAAGCAAGGTTGCACTACATCCAACATGAAATCGAGTGACTCCAGCAGATGGTGCTGTATAGTTTTACCAAGTTGCTTTGACCAAATGTGCGTATTGATGGGACATTATATTAAGGTGTTTTAAGCATAATAAAATAGCCTGGTAAATGTGTTAACACATGCAACAATATTCCAGTCATTACACGCAGTGTTTTAAAAACCCGACCGTATCCCGGCTTCCTTTCTTCGCAGCATGACCAACGCCTGCCACAGGAAGTGTGTACCGCCAATTTACAATGAGCCAGAGCTGACAAAGGGGGAGTCTGTGTGCTTGGACCGCTGCGTTGCCAAATACCTGGACCTTCACGAGCGGCTAGGACGCAAGCTGACCGAGCTCTCCATCCAGGACGAGGAAATGATGAGGAAGGCATCTGTGGGAAGTGGATAGACTCTAATGAAAGGCTCAAAGTAGAGCATTGTGGGGGATTAAAAGGTTATGGGTTATTGAGTGGGTTAGGGTTTTGTTTGGGAAATCAATAGAGTGTGAAGAATAATGCTGTTGAGGGTCCACGGAGAGAAACTGCAGTTCAGGATGAGACGTTGGATGGGGCTCAAGGAATCACCGGAGGACCTGGTGGAGCGACGGCACGAGGACGTCTAGAAACGGCTCACTGCTCCACCAGCCTCTCTGCATGCGTCTGAGTTTTTCATTCAGCTTGGCTCGGTCCTCAAGAAGTCACCTGATAATTGAGTGAAAGGAGCGAGGCTGTGTAATATCTCTAATCCATGCTCTGTGTCTGTTTTTAGCTGCGTAGAGTCCCAGAAGGGTGCTGCCTCTTCTGCACAAACTCAAATACTGGCAGGTTAAAACAAACACTATTTACATTTAGTATTTGTTCCCACATGACCCTTTGAACTTGGGTGAATTCTTTTATTTTTTTTGAAAGTGGGGAAAGTAAACATGGGCCCTCTTCATAATGTTGCAACACAACATGGTAGTCAAGTCGACGCGTTGTTCACAATTACAAATTGTCTGTTATGCAGACAGGGTTCTTTACAATACCTTGAAATACAGTAACTCAAATACAGATGGATGAGGGTATGTGCTAAATGAATTATGTATGGCAGTATCGTTTGTCCTTTTTTTAAACACAAGACTGCATCGTTTACTCTCTTTCAGGCCTGTGTTGGATTTGTCAGTAAACTCGGATACAGACTACCAGCCAGGTCGTTCCGGCTACACGGACGTGTGATGAAGATAGATTTAACTCGATACTTGTGCAGACTATGTTGTGCTATATGTGACTGGACCATGTTTCTTTTTTTGTTTTCATGTGCTAACCGCTGTGTCAGTGACGCAGCTTTTTATCTGCATATTGGAGAAGCTGCACAGTGTGTCGTTATTAAGAACTCTAATAAAACTGTCATTTATTTTAACATGAGTTTTCTTTTTTTAATGCGGGTATTTAAATCTTAATCTCTGTCCCACCCACTTGTTTTATTCTCGCACTGGTGATCCAGAGAAGGAAGGGTTTCCTAAATGTGTCTGTACCTTTAAGAAACAAAGGGGCCGGTTGAGATGAGGAAGTGAAGACGACTGACTTTCGTTTCCCTCACGAAACTTTTATTTATACCTGAACCTTGTACATCGGAAAGGGGAACTGACGGCTGCCGAAAACAAAAGCGACACAGTCACAGAGGTGGTGTATTGTGTTTCTGTCAAAGCCGATGCACAGACTTTTCATCCCGGTGCCCGCGTGGAGCCCCGCGCGAGAAACATGGTACGTGATTTTCAGGGTGTTTATAAACGCTAAAAAGAAGCGTCTTGTTGTTTGGTAGGCGAGTTATCTCATGCCGTGTGTGTTAAAATAGTTATTTAATAAACCTAGACTGTGGCTGCAGCTAATCTAATACCGTTCAAAATATGACTTACATGAATATTACAGTAGAAATACCATTATGACAAAAAATAAAGCATAGTGACGTTGATACAATTACATAATCTCAGACGCACTTTTATTCCGATATTAACTTAATTAGTTGTATCGGAAACTTAAACTTTTATAAACTTTTATAGGTCATGCTGGGGAAAAGTTATAACTCAAATATGTAGGGGAGAGCGGGGTAATGTGAGACATTTTTTACATTTGCTCCTCTCTAGGCGAGCTAAAATGATATACCAGCAAAATCTACACATTTCCCATTAATTCAGGATGTTTCCTAGCAATGGAAATGATCAGAATGTCTTCAGGACAAAGGGCAGTGAAAATATGATTGTTTTTAAAAAACACTACCCCAGTTTAGGGGTAAAGTGAGACAGACCAGAGAAATCAAGGGGGTAAAGTGAACCAGCTGGGGGTAAACTGATCCACTTACTTTTTCCACTTTAAAACTACCATAACAACACATGTTGTAACAGTTAGAATCTTGACAGCTAGATTGACAACCACACATTCCAAAACTAATATCGGACTAGTAACAGAATCATGGGGATTGGTCAATTAAGCACATTTTTTCAAACATTTGAAAGTAACTCCGAACAAAATCATATACAACATAATATAATTCAAAATGTTTTAATTAACATTCAAATGACAGATAGAACCAGTTAGATTAGAACACAGTCATGGGACCATAATCAGAACCAGCTAGAACAGCCTGGGACTCAGAACACAGGACTAGACCCACCTGGATTAGAACATCAGCCTCATACTCTATAACAAGACCTACTCTACATTCCAGCCCTGAAGGTTACAGGGAAAGGTGAAGAGTTGCTCTCTCCGTGTGGTTCCTCCAGGCCTAGTTAGAAGGCTATGTGCTAGGAAGCTGCCAAACCACTCTTCTCCTAAAGAGTGGAGAATTCATTATTATAAGATTTGGCTTTGTGGCAAGATCAGTTGGCCTAAGTTAACCTACAGAATCATGTGATCTCTTGCACACCCTAGCCTACCTGCACATTGTTTCTCTGTCCAATTGGCAGGGACAGGGATATAGTTTTTCTCTGCATATTTAAATGCCAGTTCACGGCACTTAACTGGAGCAAGGCCATGGAACTGGTCAGCTAGTTGTTTCAAGTGTTTGGCAAGCTCCTCCTCCATCTCATCTGTGAATATTCTCTTTGCCTCAGCTACTGCACCCCAGGCTACTGATTTTACTTCCCCTTTCTCTTTTTTCTTTATGAATCTTTTGATGGTTGTCTTGTCAATATTTCTATCCCTTCCAGCTTTTCTTAAGGACTTCTTTCCTTGCATGACCTCAGCGGCTGCACTCTCCTTCTCTGCGAGGGGTGTTTGGCCCAAGGTTGTCTCCCTGGTGTAGTTTCTTGGCATGATGGCTTTTCTACAATGTTTATGACATTAAAAATAAAACATATGTAATGTAATATTACACTAAAATATGTTTAAGACTAAACTTAACTTGTGCTTCATGGTGGGGTAAAGTGAGACAGTGCCTCACTTTACCCTACAGCATTTGTCTCACTTTACCCCACAGCTACCATTTGAGAAAAAACAACATCTCTTAGCAATTCAGGCTAATCTTCAGCTAGCATCAATCACATGGTTTTATATGTTGGAAGTTCATCAACATGTATGATATAAGTCTTTCTACCTGAATCAATTTGCTTTGACACAACAGTTGATTAAGTTCACAGCAAGAAAATTTACTTTTACATGCAAAAAACACATTTTTGTGAAAAAACATATTTACTACAGCACCAACTTCTCCTTCATGGCAAGGGGGGAATGGGAGGGGCTTGAAAACATAATGGTCACATGACCACAAATGTGTTCCTTTGCCTAGATACAGGGGGTGTCTCACATTACCTGGTGTCTCACATTACCCCGCTCTCCCTACAATGACCCTGAGAATGACCGGTTTATGCTTCGTGTTGCCTTCATGTGTAGTTGGCTTTAAGAGAACTATGTGGTGTGTCTTACTCAAATTGGGGAACACGTGGAAAGGGCTGGACGAATATTCAATATGATAATTTATTGTCTTTTTTATTTTATTATTTTCTAACCCCATATTTCTAGATTATTTCATATTTCTGTGTGTACTATATATATATTTGAAATATCTAAAATATGGCTTTATGTACTTTATGGAGGTGTGTTAATGCACATGTTATTTGCTCTTCCTCAGAAAATGAGAGGTTCTCAATTTCAAAGTCATTTTATTGATAATTGAGATTTATTTAGCCTAAGATTGTATCTGAAATTTATAGTGTGGTCTGTGAAAACAAAAACTTGTAAATGTAGTCTCAGTAGCATGTACGGTAAGATATTTGACAACCCTAGCCCCTACAGGTAACTCATAGGAATAATATTACAGTGACGTTTCAGTGAGTGATTGGTTGAGCAGTGAACCGTCTAATAAACCAGTGTACTGCTGCTTTTGGTCACTAGATGGATGCATCTGATCGAGAAGAGTTGGTCGGGGATGCTGATCAGCCTGTAGCACCTCCCAATGGCGTCATCAATGAACTGCTGCATGTGGGACAAGAAGGCAACATGCAGGGCCAGGTGAACTCCCTGCTGTATATGTCCAGTCTCTGTGGTTCTCAGGTTTCCATTGAAAGATACTCACTTCTTCTTGAGTATGATAACATCTTCTTTATCAAACAGTTGCATAACTTTTAGTCCTTTCTTTCCTCAGATGGAGGAGTTGCTGGGCCCGCAGGCAGAGTACAACGAGGAGGAAGAGGAGAGGAAATACTACAGGAGGAAGAGGCTGGGTGTCATCAAGAATGTTCTTGCTGCCAGTGTTGGAGCCACGATTGTGTACAGCGTGTACATGGGTGAGTTCGATTGGAGCAAATACACTGAATGGACACAGAAAAAGAGAGCTGCAGAGACTCTAATATGTTCTTTTGAATCTATTTTTGTCTGTGTGAATGGTGTGTGAAAGGCCTACTGCAGATGCAGCTGATCCTCCATTATGATATGACTTACCGTGAGGTGAAGTACAGCAACCTTGGCCTAGAGGACATCGATCGCAAGATGCTGATGGGCATCAATGTCACCCCCATCATAGGCCTGCTGTACACTCCTGTACTTATCAGGTAGACGCACACAAACATAAAGAATAAAACATGTCTTTTATCCGCGTGTCCTTGCTCTGCCTGTATGTACTCTATGACAACAGTTAGTGCTGGGCAACGATTACAATGTTTAATTGCGATTAATCTCATTGTTATGGCAAAGTTCAATAATGAATTCAAAAGTAGTGTATTGTGCACTATTTTGAAAGTACTGCTATATGAACAAAGGTCAATAACATTTGGTGTAAACACTTTAAACACATCAGGTTGTTGTTAGCAGCAGTGTTCTCTTCACACAGCAGCAGTTCTATCTCTTCACTATCTGTGCTCAGTGTGTGACTGTGTGTGAAACGTTCCACTGCTGTGCAACAGGAACAACATGTTTCACACGTTTCATCTACATGTGTGTCTTGTGTCTTCATGACAGTCAGAGCATGTGATGCAGCTCTACTGTTCATCACTATGATGCTGTAACTCAGAGGTGATGATGGTGACCCAGCGATGTCCAGTAGTCTCCAGTGAGAGCAACAGCTGTGATAATAACGCGTTAACTTGCCCAGCACTAATAACAATATATACTATATATAATGCTATATATCTCTCTCTGGAAGGTTTCTAGGCACTAAGTGGATGATGTTCCTAGCTTCAGGAATCTACGCACTCTTTGTCTCAACCAATTACTGGGAGCGGTACTACACCTTGGTTCCATCAGCTGTAGCCATCGGCGTGGCCATTGTGCCGCTCTGGGCCTCCTTGGGAAATTATATCACAAGGTGAGGCCGCGACAGGGTGGGCGGATGAAGGTGTTTCATAAGAAGTGGAAGCTTGAACCTCAGTACTTCATAGCACACAGAGCGTACTGAAGGTCGACCAGCGTTCTCAGACCTCAGGGGACAGCCAGCCTCAGATCGCTGCTCTCAGCTTTACTGCAACAACATTATACCTGCATTTCAACTTCACTAACTCAACTGTTTCTCATATGATAATGCCTAAAGATAACTTTATAACCACCTTAACCCTGACTCTAAACATCACCATTAATATTGACCATGTCTAACAACCATCAACGCTTTGAAACAGACTACAGGGCTGAACTAACAGAGAAGAACATTTCTGCATTGTCTTTATTTAACAGAGGGCCTTTTCTCACCTACCATGTTTCGTCCGGACTTTTTACATTTTTATTTGGTCTCTGATCGAAAATTACAGGATTAAATTAAACCTACCGTAATCTGTATACTGTGTATATCTTCTGATGGGCCACAGATTGTATTTGCTTAACGAACAGAATATTTGTTATTTAATCCTTTATTTAAACCACTAGTTTCATTGAGCTCCTGTCCTTTCCACGAGAGACCTATGTACACGAATACACATACAGTGTAAGATATTAGTTCAAATAACCCTAACCCTCAGTTACAAAGGAAAACCATTCCAAATACTTGAGTATAGTATTTTAATATCTTCATGACAAATGAGAGATTTTAGTTTCAGTCCACCTATTCATCTATGCAAGACTAAAAACAACAACTACCAGGCAGTTTGTTGTGCAGTGCTGGGGAGCTCACGCTGAGATGATTTTGTCACCACTTGTTTTTGTTTGTTATTTTGCATTGTTTTGTTTTTGATTCCCTGGAGACGAATTCTGTGATTTCTTTTCTTTTTTTTTTCTTTTCAAGTAAAGAGATTTTATAAAGTTGAATGCAGAAAGAAACAGAACATGGATATGTAAGGCATACCTCTTATGCACTCCTACTATTCATACAGCACATCTTAGCTGTCAAGGGTTGAAGTTTAGGGAGCTTTGAGGCGGATAAGTATTAAAACCTCATACACCGAGGCAGGGCTCATGGGACTGCATGGGCTTATAGTCGGTGCACAAGTGAATCCGTACCCATCCATGTAGACTTTAAATTAACACCTGATGGTACAGTATGTTTGCTTTCATGAATGTTTTGTGAAATTGTTCTCTCACTCAAACACATGCAGGATGGCGCAGCAGTACTACGAGTACGTCAACTACAAGGAAGACCATGTGCAGGAGCAGAAGAAGCTCCCTAAGGGAGCGTGCCACAACTACATCATTGTCTTCCAGTCAGTCTTCTACATCATCTTCCATGTGAGTCTTCAGCCAGCTTTTGTTCGCTTCAATTCATTTCATGTTGTGTGCAGTGTTCAACGTCGGAACATAAGTTTGCACAGCTGCAGAAAGTAATGAGCACGATCATTTCTTCTGTCTTTTCATGGTCAGCTGAGTTTCGTCTTCGCGGAGTTCCCCATGCGCTTCGTCCTCAACGACTACCTGCATGAGAACCAACACATTCTCTTTAATGTCCACTCCTGCGGTAAAGACTCATGTCACTTCACTGATTAATGATTACATACTAATTATTGCAAGACAACCTTTTATAAGGATTCAGTTTATTTTGTCCAATGAGATATAGGTAGACATATCAGGAAGTACACATCAATACTTTCTTGTAGAGCGTTAGATGAGAGGATTGATACCACTCTCAGCAACTGGTTACCTTAGCTTTGCACAAAGACTGCAAACGGAGAAACCGCTATCCTGGCTCTGTCCAAAGGTATAAAACAATCCACCTTCCAGCATCTGTAATGCTCACCAAAGCTCTGGCTCCAGTCTCTATGCAAAGCTAAGCTAACTGACTGCTGTCTCCAGCTTCATATTTACCGTACAGATGTGAGAATGCTATTGATTTTCCTATCTAACTCTCAGCAAGAAGGCGCATTTGCAGTTCCTTCAGCATTTTTTTCACTCATTGTGAATGTTCCACAAACTCTACTCATTGTCAGCCTGAACAACTAGCTGGTGAACATCGTGGTGCATCCAGCAGCTGGTGAACATCGTGGTGCATCCAGCAGCTGGTGAACATCGTGGTGCATCCAGCAGCTGGTGAGCATCGTGGTGCATCCAGCAGCTGGTGAGCATCGTGGTGCATCCAGCAGCTGGTGAGCATCGTGGTGCATCCAGCAGCTGGTGAGCATCTTGGTGCATCCAGCAGCCAAACAATCAAATATCTTTTTCTCAGGAGTTGGTGAAAACTTGCTTTGGGAACCAGACAAATCTGCAAGCTCATGTTTTATTTGCTGTGACAAATGCGTCTAGTCCCGCTGCGCTTTTTAGTTTTGTTTTAAGTTTTTGTTTCATTTACCTGAATCAAGTTTGTTAATAAGAACAAAAAACACTCTGAAAAAACACTCTTCTTTCTTCACCGTCTTGCATGCAATAGAAGTCCATGTGTTAGGCTAGTATATTTGTTTCGTCCAATATGTTTAAGTAGGCAGCAACATGCTGAAGGAAACACGAGTCGGCCACAAAAAGCTGATGTGAAACAAGTGAAGTGCAACACTTCTGCTAAACTGAAATGTTTTTCCTGCCGTGCTGAACTTGGATCTCACTTCTGGCAACATCACTTCCTTTTTATTGTAAACATCAATAGGAGGAAATATAACGGTGGAGAAGTTCCCATCTCCATCAGATGTACATTTGATTCAATGCTTCCACACAGTCAGCAGTGGAAGAAGGCATTATGTTTTCGGGTTGTCTGTGATATCTCAGGAACGTCTGGAGGGATAAATGTCCACCTGGACTTAGGGTTGAACTGATGGTGGTCAAAAGTCCCTCTGACTTCATCAATCACATTTTTGGCCAGAACTCAAGAATACATATGCTAATTATTACAATTTCCCACAAATGTCTAAAAGGATAAAATGATGAAATGATGACATTCTGGACAGACATGTATGTAAAGTGCAACTGCATTCAAGCTCTCTAAAGCAGCGATGACGTCTCAAGTGTTCCAGGCTTCGGGTCTATAAAGGTGTCGGACTGAGACCTGTTGCTTGTTGTGTCTCATCGCCTCCTCTCTAATGGTTGAACTGTCCTCTTCCTCTGACAGGAGCAAACATTAGTGGAGTGATCCCCGGCTTCAACACCACTGTGCTTACCAACCTGCCTCGCTCCATGCTGCTCATCCAGGTGGAGAGTGTCCTCATGGGCTTCGCCTTCCTCGCCATGATCATCGTAAGATCCAAACTCCCCGACACACACACACACACACACACACACACACACACACACACCCCCCTCTGACTCCCTAGAAGTGTGTTTAGGTTGTTTATTTGTATTAATATGACTGTCTTGTGTCTTTCCTGAATTTCTGTAGTCTTGGAAATGAACAGGAAATGACTGGTAGGGAGCGATGTTGATTTACCTTGAACTAGAAAGTTATACCGAACCAAAGTGTATACACACTAAGCTTTGTGAATAAACTAAAACACAGCTAAGACTGTAATTGGCTCTTTATTAAGCTATTCGTTCATCTATTTTTTATTTAAGGAACATACATTTCTCCTAATATACAACATAATTATAGTATATTTAAGAGTGTAAAGAAGAATTAAACATTAGGGAGGAGTTACTTAATAAGTGCTTAATTATTAATAAGAGCAAAGAAGATTTTTAACAGTTTTAGTTGTAAACCAAAATGACTAAAACACAGTAGATTTAAGGAGAACTGCATTACAGACATTACAGACATTACAGTCATTTAGCTTTTATCCAAAGCAGCTTACAATTCAGATTCTATCACATTCACACCGTAGGCTCAGCTACGGGAGACATTCTGGGGTTAAGTGTCTTGCTCAAGGACACATCGACATGCGACTAGCGGAGCCGGGGATCGAACCGTCGATCCTCTGATTGAAGGTCGGCCCTGCTCTCCACTTAGCCACCGTTACTGCAAAGTCCACTGATGATTCTTTGTGGGTTTGTTATCATTTGTTAATATAAAAATATAGATTGGAGCAGCTTTAAAGTAAGAAGTATGAATATGTTTTAGTCTGTTCAGGGCAGGCACACGGCTTGAACCTATTCCAGCATGCATCAGGGCAACCGGTCTGACGCTTTTACCCAAAGCGACTTACAATAAATGCATTCAACCATGTGGGTAAAACCCAAACGGTGCAAGAATCATGCAAGTACAGCAACTTCATCAAATATGCTGATCCACTTTTAGTGCTACATTTATAGATAATACGAGACAGAAAAAAGCTTTTCTTTTTACAAACAAACTCAGATTCACACATTCGTACAATTTCCGAGGAAGTTCTATCCGTAAAGGTCCGTCTGTCAGCTGAGTGGAAAGCAGATGGCTAACCTGCCTTCCCCAAGTACTGACATGAACCAAACCGGTCTTCATGTCGGTGCCATGGGAAGAAATCCAGAGTGTTTGTATTGAGTCATTGATGTTATTTCTCCACCGACCGTAACGAGTGAGGGGAGTCTGCCTGGAGCTCACAGACAGACGGGTTGCCTTAAACGATCAATGTAGATATGGTTCGTGTGGAGTGATGCATTTAATAAAATGGAAGCGTATCTGTTCTTTGAGAGGCTTCTAAAAATGCTTCCAGTGGGATTTGCAGTGCTTCAAAGGGATACAAAGCCTTATTCAGGGCCATGTTGGAGTTAGTTATTTAGTTCTACAATATGCTGGACCGACCTTCCTAATGTGTCAAGGCAAAGCATGTACAAACCATGGCAATCATTCATAATTATTCAAAATAAATTGATACCCACAGTTCCTTGTGCTGTGTGGTGCTGCCTACCGCCCGACAGAAGAAATCGACCTCCGCAGTATTGGCTGGGGAAACATCTTCCAGCTGCCTTTCAAACACCTGCGAGACTACCGCCTGCGACTGCTCTGCCCCTTCTTCATCTACAGCGGATTTGAAATGCTGTTTGCAGTCACTGGATTTTCCCTGGTAGAGCAGAATAGCCGTCACTTGCATTGCTTAATTGTTTTTGTCAGGAAATATTGAAAATATATGCATTTCATCTAATTTCTTTCTGTCTTTCCCTCCACAGTCCTATGGCGTCTGCGCTTTGGGCCTGAAAAAGCTGTGGCTCCTTATAGTAGTCTATGGCCTCTCCTGCTCCGTATTCTCTTCCCTCTCCCTTTGCCTCCTACACCTCCCGCGCTGGGTGTGTCTGGTGGGGGGCGCTGCTGTGCATGCAGTGCTGCTGGTGGTGCTCCTGGCGTTTTCTCCACCTCCTAAAAGTCCGGAGTATCTGGGCCCTCTGCTGGTGATCTCTGTGCTGTGGGGGCTTGGCACAGCTCTGAACAAGACGGGCGTCAGCAGTGAGTAACGGCTGTGGTCGAGGTGTTTTGTCGGTACGATACTGTACACTGACACGCGTCTCCTCTCTGTGTGTGTCAGCTCTGCTTGGTATGCTCTACGCTGAGGAAAAAGAACGTCTGGACTTTGTCTACACCATCTATCACTGGTGGCAGGCCATCGCCATCTTCATCGTCTACCTCTGGTCCAACCTGCCAATGAGGGTATGATGTGTGTGGGTTTACAGAACGATAAATGTGTGTTTGTGTCTCTGGTAAAGCAACTCTAAGAAAAGACGGATCATTTGGCTCCACATTGTAAAGGAAAAGTTCCTACTTATATCTTTCATGGCCTATTTCTGTCACTCTTCCTCAGGCCAAACTCTCCATCCTGTTGGCCACTCTACTGCTGGCCTGCTACTGTTATTGGGTGATGGAGCGTCGGCTGGCCATGAAGGTGCCTTTCAGACTGCCTCGCATCCCGCGGCCACGGCACAAGGTAAGCAATCTCTGACTGATTCAGCCTTCACAGCCCAAGAAGAAGGGATACTGGAGATTCTATGAATTTATTTTTCATTGAAGCCAATTATGTTAAAACCATCACTGCTGTGTGTGATGTAGCTCCCAGAACCAGTCAGTACAGGTGCTGCTATGTTCGTTTGTTTAAACATTATTCAGAAATAAGCATTCTTTGCCCGTTTGTAACTGTTTTGTTCCATATATCTAATTTCAAGTCAATTTCATGGCTATTAAGTTAAAAAGCCTTTATCTCCTCAAAGCTTAGACACTCTCAACTCTAATGGGTTTTGCTTATTGTTACATCATTTGGATGTTTCACATTCATCTGCTGAAGGGAGAGTTTCTGTGTGCTCGCCTTGAATCTCTATTTGTGACGTGTGCGTATGAGCATGATTCTGTGACATCACATCTAGTTTGGAGCCAATCATAGTCAAATATGTAATGTGGGAATTTAAAACCTCGAGTGCACATACACTGAGAATACATGAAGCAATACAATATATTTGCTTTTGATAGGAGAAGGTGGTCAAATATGTTGTGCATGTCGGAACACGTCGGTGTAAAATCACACTTGTATAACTTCCATCTTGCCACTTGACATGATAAAAAGGTAAGCTTTCAAACTATAGATAAATTAGAAGTTTTGTTGCTATGGTTACCTTGTTTGCACATTGATTCAAAACACGGTTTAAATTTTTAACCAGAAGCAGAACTAAGTTTTAGATGTTGCACTATAACTTTAATGACCAGTTAGAAACAAGGCCGTAGTATACCAGCAGTGCTTTACACTCATTTGCCAGTTTATTAGGTACACCGAGCTCAAACCAATCAGTCTAATTATACAACAGGCCTGCAGTACATCCTCACTTCATGAAGGTTATAATGTTTTAAAGAGGTGTTGATTATGATCATTTTGGAGGATGTAGTCTGTTGAACTGCATTGTGTTGTACATATTATCCTAAACCTTTAACAGTTTTGACAACAACTGAACGGTATGAGCTTCATGAAAGGAGCTCTTACGGCGGCCTGAGTGTACACGCTTGATAGAGTAAACGGAGTCGGCCTCTGCGTCTTTAGGCTGTTTCTCTTTGAGCTTGGTGCTTTCCTTCACTGCCAGGGAAAGACATTCATGTTTTAAATCACTGGCCCCGCGGCCACCGAGCCCTACATTTGATGAACAAAGTACATTCATGTTGGCACAAATTTAAACGTATGTAAAAACAACACAGAAAAGGCAATTAAGGGCAACTTAACACAGCCTTCCTTAAACGTGAATAAAATGAAAAGGCAAAAAAATAAACATATAGAATTATTTGTTTAAATTGAAATTTCAAGTTCTTATTGGTATCGTACAGATACTCCTCATTTCACTTTCATGAATCAGCCGTCCCTGTCCTCCAAAGCGTCACTGACGCTCGCTCGTCTTGCGTTCTGTTCGGACACGTAATCTCATTAAGACACGCAGTCTCATTCTCAAGAGACCGTGCAGAACTTTGGTGGCCACAAAGTCATGTTTTGTAGCCATTGGTTAAAGTCAAACCCTCACTACTGCTGTGAAGTTCATTGTTCTTAAACTCCAGTTTGGTTACTTATAGAACCGAAACTGGGGCCTCCTCCTGGAGCCTGACCCGGGAGGGGAGCTTGCTATCGAGTGTCTGGTGGCCAGGCCTTGACTCAAGGGGCCCAGTTCTACACAGATCTCTCAACATGAAATCTGGAGTGTGGGGAGATTTGAACTCCTGCTACCAGCGATGTGTCCTGCACTCTGGAAAAAATCCTTCAGCTGTGCGAGTCAATACAATCTTATTATAGTCAGAGCTTTATTGTTCAACATTTTAACAGGTGAGCAAACTTTTTCTCCTCCGCCATCAGTATAATATGTAATTTGTGTTGGCAGGTCAAAGGTTACCGCTACCTGGAAGAGGACAACTCAGATGAGTCAGACTCTGAGAAAAGTGTGGAGGATGACGAAGAGGAGGAGCACGAAGAGCATGTGGCGGAGGAGATGGGAGCAGAGGACGGGGAGGAAGGAGGCCAAGACGCCGGGGTCCAGGGAGTTGACTCACCCAAAGCCAGGAGGAGGGGGGCCGAGGGTCACCGCCACAGACGGGAGGACGCCCATGTGAAGGAGGGAGTGAGAGAAGAGCGTGAGGGAGGTTGAGAGAGGAGACAAAGGAGGAATGAGGGAAGATTTTGGACAGAATGTTGACAAAAATGTGAGATTAGCTGGACGCTGTTGTGATTATAGTTGATTATCAATCAAAGCTTATGCCAGAAATAAAAGCTTTTATTTCGCGTGGAAAATATGAATGAGCACAACAGCATCCAGAAGAAAGGCTACACAAATTGTAAATACTATATTTCTATTTAACAATAGCTAGAGCCGTCTGATCCACATACTGGATAAAACACGACTAAAAATCAAACACAACTGGAAAGCTTCTGTTGTGGCTCATGTGCACCAAATGTGCTGATGATCATAGAGGTCATTTTAAAAAGAGCACTCTACTGAAAAGAGAGAACTGAAAGCGACAGAAAGGGGGATGAGGAATTGAATTTTTAAGTTTGTCCTCAGGGTGAAGTGCGTTTGGATGGAGTCCTGCTCCATGTGAGCAGCATAAGCAGCCGTAGCTATGTTCATTCTTCTGCCTTTGTTTACTCCCAACCCCGTAGCTTACCCACCTCTCTAAGAGAAGACAACCCAAACCAACCTGTTCTTTAGAAGCTCAGACACGTGTCTGTTGGTCCTCTTGGCAGAAGTTGAATATGAATGTATGTTTATGCTCAATACAGGTACGGACGGTCAGTGCCAGTCAATAAGGAATTAATTTTGGGATACACTGGCCTCAGGGATGTTCTAGGTACTGAATATGTGTCTCAATTGTTTTTAACACGGTAATCTACAATACGACAATAAAGACGATTAAGAGTCTACAACAACGCTAGCGTTTCTAGCTAGGAGCTGTGATGTGAGCTAAATACTCGTAGTAATAGCATGCTAATAACATGCTAATAACATGCTCACAGTAACAACGTTCACTTACTGATGGTTAGCAGGTCTCATGTTTTCATTGTTCACCATTTTATTTTAGCGTGTTGGCACTAAACACAAAGTACAGCTGAGCCTGATCACCACATCACTTAAGTCATTGAAGTTCATCCTCTGGGGACTATGAATGTCTGTACAAAATCTCATGTCAATCTATTTAGTAGATGTGGAAATATCTCAGTGTGGACAAATCACATTCATAGAGTCACGCTAGCAGAAAGAAAATACAAACGGACGTATTAAAGTGTAAAGCACAGAGCTGGGACAGCAAAAAAGAGATGATAAGGTCAGACGATGTCTTGAAAACGAACACATATCAGGGAGCTCACATGCACGTGAAGTCTTGGGAAAGTGTTTGTAATAATTTAAGGCCTCAAAAAGTATTACAATTGGATATATTTTTGTCATGGTTTTGAATTCCTTTAGGTGCTTCATTGTCCTGGTCGTGTGCGTACTGGCTCACTGTCACACGTCATGGTACAACAGAGCCATCGTTGACGTTAATAGTAACACCCGGACTTCACTATGATCTCGGTGGAACAGTTCAATTAATCATGACAAGTCAGCAAGTTTGGAGAGCTGCTATTTGATGATTTGTACAAAATACAAAACCTATATGTTAAACTTATTGTATCTACTTCACTGCGCATAGTTGTTACTTTAATTCCTGTTTTAGTACTTATTGTTGTCTGAAGTCACGTTTACTTTGAGTTGGTTTGATCCAGGCTGTGTTAACACATTTATTTACAGTCATGTCAAGCATGCCATGCTTTTATACCAATGGTCAAAAGTTCTGGTACTTCTGGGTTCTGTTCTCACACATTACGGTCAGATTGTTTCTATTTAAACCTTCTGTGGCGAAATCACATCTGACGTTTCAATGAATTGATGCCGAAGCTGCTTGATGTTGCACTGAGCCCTGTTAATGTGTGTAATGTCATGTTACTGACTTCAACACTGTGGAACCCAAAACATTTTGTGCTTCTCTTGATTATTACATTAAACTAAAGATGGTGTTGAAGTTAACAGCTGCTGCACATGTCTTGACTGGTGGGCGGTGTGATGTCAGAGTCACTGATTTAACACTCATCGTCATTAAGTACAGTTAATGTGAAAGTACATTTATATACCACATATGCATAGATATGAGATATAACAGTGTTTATTTTTCTTATGTAAGAGTACAACTACTAAGAGGAACTTGAAAAAACTAATTTCAAAGTAAAAGTTGTTTAATCTGTAAAAGAAAAGAAAAAACAAGAATCGGAAATACAATTTACACAACAAGCCTCGGTTTGTAGCTTTGAATTACTGATGCATTAACTTTAAATATTCGGTTATTACACACTTGTTCTAACCCATCAAAACATCAGTGGATAATTAAACTGCATACTATGTGTTTTGCACTTAAAGCTTAATATCAGTGTGCTAACGTTCTCTCTGCATACGTGCACTCACACAGGAATGACAGAAAGGACTTCAGGTTCTCAATCTGTGCTTTATTTCACTTGTTCTAAAACAAAATGAGTATTAACACACAAATGAACATGAGCTAGGATAAAGAGGTAGCTGCTACGTCACTGATGGTTTGTGTTGTAGTTGCGGTCCTGACAAGTGAAGCCTTAAACTCAGAACCAAACCTTAAGTTCAGGCGCTGAAGCTCAGCATCCAGGTGATAGCCTGAGCCATTACTGTTGCCAGTTCTGATCTGTTCCTTCTCAGTGCCTGATGCGTCTGATGGACTGGATCTTTGGAGTCTGGCAGTGGGAGCCCCAGCTCCTCCAGTGCTGGTAGTCTCCACTGTGTCTCTCACACTCCATGATGTACTGCTGGCCTCTGTAGCCTGGGTACTCGTAGCACACGAAGCTGAAGAAAGACAGTGGCAGGAGGAGGAGGTGGGGTAAGTAAGAAGAGCTGAATTTCATTTTTTCTGATTTGCTCTTCACATTAAGAATTTCTCAAGGTGGTATTTAGATTAAATTCAGATATTAAACAATTTTAAGGCATGCACTAAGTGGAACATTTTATAGTAACAAATAAGATGTTCAGTGCTCTCTGGTGCACAGACTACGCAATGGTAGAAATGGTGTTTCTACATTACTGCGAACATGTTTTTGACATCTGTCTGTTCCGTTTCCTGTCATTGATCAGCCAACGTGCTGATACGATCTGTGATGAGCTGACATGTTCCATTAATATTGGCCTGACAATTCATCGGTCAAGCACTTCCTCAAGTTGTGTTACCTTCAAAAACTTCAGCGCGTTATGTTACCACCCACAGACATTTCAAGACAGATCATTTTTCTGCTTCTTCTTTTCCTCTTTAAAACCCTCTGAAACTTCTTTATGATAAAGAGCTTTAATTCAACTTGAACTAGATTGTGTTGGGATGAAGCTCTGACTTACGCTCCGCATTGCACATGCATGGAGCCCACCTCGGGCAGTAACCAGCCCATGGCCTTCAGGGAGGGGTAGTCGTCACACAGCTCGGTGCTGCGGCCCATGAAGTTCTCCCTCTCAAAGATCATCATACGACTGCTCTGGTGAGACTGGGGGGGGGGTGCGACAGAGTGCATAGTGTTAGGCCTGTCAGACGTGCAGAGCAAGCAGACATTCTGCACCAAGTTGTCTCATTTTCTATTTTTGAGTTGTCCAGTCACTCGCTGTGTGGCTTCTGATCACTCTTCCTTCTGTCACTCACTGTCCTCTCTTTTCCATTTGCTCTTTCACTCCCACTTCTCTCTTACTATGTCTCATTTTAGCCCTCCCCTCCTGTGCAGGCACTCACAGCACAGTAGATGGGACGAAGGGACATGAAGCGCTCGTTGTGGTAGGACAAGGAGCCGCTGTAGGCGTCCCAGTTGGGGTACTCGCCCCTCTCCAGGATGAACTGCTGGCCCTGGAAGTCATGGTGCTCGAATCCCACCCAACTGGACACATGGGTGGACGATGAGAAATAGTCAGAAGGGTGAGGGAAAATTATAAACAGTGTTGTCAAAAAACGGTCTGAACATAAAACAGACACTTAACATTAGACGGGGTGAGAGGAGTACCCAGTTTGTCAGTTTTCTGTCCCTCTAGTGGTCACAGGACAAAGTGCATTAAGGTTGTGAATGTCCTGTGTTTTATTTTTACATTTAACATTTCCACAGTAACAAAAGTTCCCCAAATCATCTCTAAAGGTGATATCCACCATTAAAAAAGATGAAGATTGCTATTCTCACAAAAGAATAGAAAAAAGTTACCAGTTAATACTGGATGACTTCAGAATATATATCTCACTTTGTTTTAACAGAGATTTACAATTTCTGTTCTCCTTATTAACGTCACCTTTTTACTAACAACAAAAAACAGACAGTCTGTTGAGCATTGTGCACTTTTGAGATTTTTGTCTGTTGGCTAGGAAAGAGTTTTAGGAAAAGAAGAGAGGTGCGAGTCCACAGAGGCAACTCCCAGACTTTACCGGTTGCTCGTTTGGCTAATGTTTGGTTCTGAATACTGCGTCTAATCTTTGTGACAGCGATTGTATTTTCCTTTTTTTAGGCTACAATAAGTACAGTTGCACTCTCAGTGGGAATCAGTTCTCATCACTTTCTCGCTTTGAAAAACAAGCTAAATCTCCGTTCAGCAGGTGTTTGGCAAATCACTACACTGACTTTGGCAAACTATACACAGCATGACTAAGGCCTGTATAAAGCTGCTCAGAGTAAAGCTTTGGTCCAAAGTGCGTCAAAAATACTGAGGGTGGCACTTAAAGGTGTTCTTCCCCTGTGAGGAGTCACCAACAGATGGCTGCTTGATGTATACAGAGAAGACTGCACTCTTTCCAACTAAGAAGAGATATTTTGGAAATGTGTGACGACATGCAGTTGATAAAACACAACTGCATGTTTTGGGTCCTTAATACCCACAGGATTAAAAAGTTGATGTGCTGATTCTGTGGGAATAGAACCAAATGCTGTGACATTAAAGTCTTTTTTTCATAATGTACACATTAAATACTTTTATATAGATTACAAAAGTACAGTCATTGTAGTATTTCTCCCAAAGTGAAAGAAATGGTGTGAAAACTGCGCCATAGAAACAGAGAGTAACAGGTAGTATATAGTGCAGTAGTAGGAATAGTCCCAATAGATATTTCTCAGATCAGTCAACAATTTCTAAAAATGCAGTGTGCTTTTCATCAGAGGG